TTGTGACGCGACAATTATGATGCTTTGCATCTCATGAATTAAAGTTAATTCTCTTTCAATCTTAAGGTGTTCATACCCCTTATAATTATCGGACAAGAATATCTCAAAATATTTAAATTTTGGCAAAATAAATTAGGCAATAATATCTATAATATGTATATATTTTAATGTTTTAATTCCTTCCAGTTTCCCAAAAAAACTAAAAGGGCTTTAATTTTGAAATATCATAATGAAAATAAATGCATTCCTCGACAGCACTATTCTTAATATAATCCCCAAATTTAAGCCCTCAATGTCTTGTTAATGATTTCTTAAAATTCGCCAAAATTAGTGGCTAAAACGCTTGGTTAAGTGCTATCTTCTGGTGTAAACTGGTGTAAATTATTGCAAGAAACGAATAATGACAGAGTGTACGATACGATAGTTACAAGCCCGTTACACTGTTTTCCACTCAATTTATTAAAAAAAAAAATAATAATAAATTAGGGTGTTAATTTTTTTTCTCTGAAGCTATTGGTTTTAGGAAAAAAATTCAAGAATAAAAAAAATTAAATAAATCAAGGATTTCATAAAAGTTGATCTCGAAAAAAAGTTTTAATATAAAATAAAGTAAGTGTTGCTAATTTCATCCCCCTATAATGTAACAGAAATATTGAAAAAATACCCGTGGTTAGTCCTTTGCGATTACAGAATTTCAAGTTTCTAGCTTTACTGAAATTTTAGAAAAAAAATAAAAACTCAATTTTAGTCACCACTTTTTAAGGGTGATATCTCGAAAAGGGGTGGGCTGAGGAAATGTTGTTATAGAAAAGACCCATCTTAATTTCATACGAGCACTCAGTTCCTGAATTTTGTCGCATGTATTTAGAAACACCCTGTATATTACACATTTTTTTAAGCGTGAAAAATTCTTGACAATCTCTTTTCCCTAATTGGCACATGTCGTATTTTTCTAGGATTTACTAACTCTGGCAGCAAACAAATAAAATAGAAATTTGTTAGCTGTGCATTTTTGCCTTTCAGAATTTTTCATTTCATAAATTAACTAAAAACTAAATTAAACAAAAACCTAACAACGCCTCAACAACAAACTAAGACGATCACAATAATTTCGCACCTCTTCAAAAACAACTACCTATTTTTCGACACAGGAATTAATAAATTTAACTAAACGGCAGCTACCCTTTTAACCACGGGCTTCAAAGACTAGCAGCGTTGCCATATTCACTGGTATCATTGTTTTAATAGAATTAGTATCGGCATGAAAACTATGTTAATCTTCGGTCCTGTTTAAAATTGGTAATCTTTTTGAAAAAAAGTTATTTAGAAAATAGTTAAGATATTTGTTATAGAATGCCGGTAAAGAGCCAAAAAATTAAATTTATTAAAAAGTTGAAATTTTTGTTGTTTTTCTTTAAAAATATAAGTTTTTCGCGGTTTAGCGAAATTCTTGGTTCATTTTTACAACGATTGGCCTGAACCATTTTTTTTTATAATTTTGTTTAACTGCCTCAAATGTAAAATTGATTTTTGGTGGAGGAGCGCCCGTCATGTTTGCTCTTAAGGTTTATTTCGGCCTGACGTGACATGATTAGATTTTGGACAAAGTCGGAACATCTAGGGGGGTATTTTACGGGAGGGCGTTTTTATATTTTATGGAATATATCCGTTATTTATGTTTGGAGAAAAAAATTGTTTAAATAAAAGTTACTTCTAATATTATTATCTATAATTTTTGTTCTATACAAAATTTTCCTAAAATGGTCCGTATTCGAGAAATTTGACAAAATGTAAAAAAAATATTTTTTTATAAAAATTGTTTAAATAAAAGTTGTTTGTAATATAATTCTCTAAATTTTTATTCTATACATAATTTTTCTAAAATAGACCGTATTCGAGATATTTGAGAAAATGTGTAAATTTCAAATTTTGAAGAAAACTCAAAAACGGATAAAGAAAAAAACATTAAATTTTAAACTTAAGGTTTATTTTGGCCTGAAGTGAAATGATTAGATTTTGGACAAAGTCGGAACATCTAGGGGGGTACTTTATGGAGGGGCCGTTTTTATATTTTATGGAATATATCTGTAATTTATGTTTAGAGAAGAAAATTGTTCAAATAAAAGTTACTTCTAATATTATTATCTATAATTTTTGTTTTATGTTAAAATTTCCTGAAATGGTCCGTATCCGAGAAATTTGACAAAATGTGCAAAATTCTCATTTTTATGAAAATTGTTGAACTAAAAGTTGTTTGCGATATCGATCTCTATAATTTTTGTTTATACATGATTTTTCTAAAATGGACCGTAATGGAAAAGTGCTAAATTTAAATTTTTCAGTATTTTCGTTTTCAATGAATATCTATAGAAAAATGTTTCGAGGTAGATGTATGTGGACAATGTATATATTTAGTTTATCCTCTAAACATTTATAGAGATGCTGCAATAGGTTGTACAAAATAACCGGAAAAAGCCTATAAAAACTAGATAGGAAAGTCATGTGTTGGACACATCAGATTTTTAATATATAAATTCTAAATATTTTTGTCTTAAATGTGATTAATCATCTTTATGGAAATAATCAAGTTGGTCAAAGAGAGTAGGCTGGGGGGCCAATTACTTGTGGTGCCGATGGGGCCAAATTTAGCCAGTCCGACCCTGCCCTGAATCCGTTTTGACTATTTTCGCGATGATGTCTGTGTGTGTGTGTGTGTCTGTAGGTCGCATAACTCATGAACCGATACACAGAAAAACACCAAATTTTAAACTTAAGCTTTATTCCAGTGTCTAATAAACTGATTAGATTTTGGGCAGAGTCGGAACATCTGGGGGGGTACTTTATGGGTGGTAATTTTTATATTTTATGGAATATATCCGTTATTTATGTTTGGAGAAAAAAATTGTTCAAATAAAAGTTACTTCTAATATTATTATCTATAATTTTTGTTCTATACAAAATTTTCCTAAAATGGTCCGTATTCGAGAAATTTGACAAAATGTAAAAAAAATATTTTTTTATAAAAATTGTTCAAATAAAAGTTGTTTGTAATATAATTCTCTATAATTTTTATTCTATACATAATTTCTCTAAAATGGACCGTATTCGAGATATTTGAGAAATGTGTAAATTTCGAATTTTGAAGAAAACTAAAAAACGGATAAAGAAAATAACATTAAATTTTAAATTTAAGGTTTATTTCGGCCTGACGTGACATGATTAGATTTTGGACAAAGTCGGAACATCTAGGGGGGTACTTTACGGGAGGGCGTTTTTATATTTTATGGAATATATCCGTTATTTATGTTTGGAGAAAAAAATTGTTTAAATAAAAGTTACTTCTAATATTATTATCTATAATTTTTGTTCTATACAAAATTTTCCTAAAATGGTCCGTATTCAAGAAATTTGACAAAATGTAAAAAAATATTTTTTTATAAAAATTGTTCAAAACAAAAGTTGTTTGTAATATAAATCTCTATAATTTTTATCCTTTGCATAATTTCTCTAAAATGGACCGTATTCGAGATATTTGAGAAAATGTGTAAATTTCGAAATTTGAAGAAAACTCAAAAACGGATAAAGAAAAAAACATTAAATATTAAACTTAAGTTTTATTTCGGCCTGACGTGACATTATTAGATTTTGGACAAAGTCGGAACATCTGGGGTGGTACTTTATGGGAGGCCGTTTTTATATTTTATGGAATATATGAATCGGTCATTTGAGAAACAACACATGTCACATTTTTGGCCATTTTGTTTTTATTACAAAAATACAATATTTAAAGGTAAATTATAATTATTGAATTATACCCAAAATAGAGCAAGTTTTAAACGCTAAGTGTACAAAACTATTTTTTAACCATGTTTTGAGATTTTCACTTTTTCTTAATTTTTTGAAAAATGATCTACAACTAACATGTGCTGTTTCTCAAATGACCGATTCATGTTATTTATGTTTGGAGAAAAAAATAGTTCAAATAAAAGTTACTTCTAATATTATCTATAATTTTTGTTTTATGTCAAAATTTCCTGAAATGGTCCGTATTCGAGAAATTTGACAAAATGTGCAAAATTCTGATTTTTATGAAAATTGTTGAAATAAAAGTTGTTTGCGATATCGATCTCTATAATTTTTGTTTATCATGATTTTTCTAAAATGGACCGTAATGGAAAAATTGTAGGAAAAGTGCTAAATTTTAATTTTTTAGTATTTTCGTTTTCAATGAATATCTATAGAAAAATGTTTCGAGGTAGATGTATGTGGAAAATGTATATATTTAGTTTATCCTCTAAACATTTATAGAGGTGCTGCAATAGGTTGTACGAAATAACCGGAAAAAGCCTCTAATAACTAGATAGGAAAGTCATGTGTTGGACACATCAGATTTTTTTAGTACGTACAGGTCTGGATGCAATGTCCATATCACTTTAAGAGCTTCAATGTGTGGTACCGGTACCAAGCTACAAATAATAAGTATAGGAATTAAGCATAACCACACTATTAGCAAGGTAAGTGTGATTTCTTTAACATCTCAAACTTAGTGCACTGTACACAGGCTCGGGCAACTAGCCCCCCATATAAATATGAAAAGAGCACAATTGACTGCAAATGAGAAACAGTGCAAATATGGGGGGCTACCTCTTCATAAGTTTCAAATACGTCTCTTTACTTCATATTTATCATTTAGAAACAATATTAATATTCAACAAGTGAAAATTCACATAGAAATGAAAGAAATAAGGTTGTCAATTTTTCCGGCGGCATTCAATGTTTCAAATACAGTAGACCGTCGTCCAGCGGCATTTATCAAAGCACTGATAGCATGCCGCCCTGATTAACAAATCAGGTTAGATTTTCGGCGGCTTTTTTATATGTGATAAGACCATGCCGCCGGAAGACGGTTTTCGTTTTATTAAATTCAACTAGCGCCGGCGGTCGGCTAGCCAGTACGTAAAACAAAATATCATAGCCAAATATTTATATTTTATACTTACAATAACATAGATAAAAGGTTCTTTCGTTAGTCCTACTGTGGTGTCAACTGGTGGATATCATGGAGGAAGAGGATAATGGCTATTTTCTTTCCACAACCTACTTAGCAGGAGCACAGAAGAAAAAGAAAGAATTGCCAGGAAGCAGGAGTGAATTACACTCAGTGTTGCCACCATCCGATGAAGAAATTATCGTGCAGTGCTACCAAAATTATCGATTTTTCTTGAAAATTATGTTACAATTTTCTTAATTTTGTTGTTTCGGAAAAAACACGTTATGCTTATTTGTATTTATTTATAATCGCATAAAAAATAAAATAAAAAAATAACACAAAAACTTAAATCTAAACCAAAATTATTCGGTTCAAAATTAATGTCAATATTTCCATGTTCGATTATGGGAAATTTTGTACCAGGGGTAGTATTCTCGAGTCACGAATATAAGATTCGCATGCGAGATTTATGATTTGTCTCACTTGGTTTTCGTTCAACAAAGTGAGACACATTGTAAAACACGTATGCGAATTACCCTAGTAGTCAATTAATATTTCATTATTTACCTCTTCATCACAGACCTGGCAGCAGTGTTGCCAGATGGAAATTTTTGTCAACAGTAGGAATATAGTCAAAAAAACAGGAGATTGCTTTTTTCAACAGATTTTCATAAATCTATTTTTTAATAGAGAAACACCGTTGTGTTAAACGGAGATTAAAATAACATTGTTAATGTAAAAATGTCACTTTAAACTTCGTTTAACACAACGGTGGAATCGGTCCTTAGAGGACTATCTAAAGAAATCCGTTTAAATAATAACAGAAGTAAATTAGCGAATACGAAAATATTTTTAAAGGCCACCAGTATTTTAACGGCCGTTAAAATATAAAGGAATTGTTACAGAATAGACCCCTATAGCTCCGTAATATCAAAGAGCTCGATAGGTTCTTTCGTTCGTCCCACTGGTGTAGTAATGAACTACACCAACGTACACTAAACCTTTCGTTTTGGCCCGGTGTAAAACCCACTATACCTTCCTGTCGACGATGTGGTGTCCACTGGTGGATATTTTCTCCACCAGCTATTTAGCAGGAGTGAATTACACTCGACATATAAAGGAATAAGGAGGAAGTAAACTAGGGCAAATAATAGGTTCTTTCGTTCGTCTCACTGGTGTAGGAATGAATTACACCAACGTACACCAAACCTTTCGTTTGGCCCGGTGTAAAACCCACTATACCTTCCTGTCAGCGATGTGGTGTCCACTGGTGGATATTTTCTCCACCAGCTATTTATGCTGCGTTTGAGAATCCACATCGGATGCATCTGAGATGTAAAAAATCTTTGATCACGTGATTCAGTATACGTAAATGTAATGGGACAGATGTGTCCGATGTGGATAAAAAAACGCTCGAGATGTAAAAAATGCATCCGATGTGGATTCTCAAACGCAGCATTAGCAGGTGTGAATTACACTCGACATGTATATAAAGGAATAAGGAGGAAGTAAACTAGGGCAAATTATGTGGTGTACTTGGTGTAATTTACACTGGTGGAAACTGCACCAACAACGAACGAAAGAACCTGATATTACGCGCTATGCCTAGGCGAGTTCGGTCAGTCAGGGGCTGGACTCTGAGGGGCTGGAGCGGGACAAATTTTAGGGTGCTTTTAAATGACATTTAAGCGTGTTAAACTGTCACTAATCGGACTAAACCGAACGCTAAAAGGGTCGTTTGGAGTTAAAAGTGTTAAAGGAGTTAAAGGAACTTGGCAGACCGAACGCAATGCCTGAACCAGCCTTAAAACTATAAAATGTCAAAATTCATAATGTCAAAGTCAAACTTCAACTAATCATAGGTTAAGTAATATCTGAAATGTTCAACTTTTAAAAGCAACACTTTATTGATTTTTAACTAAACCTGATATCTAAAACTATTTCATTACAATGATAAATCTACGGATTTATGTAAAAACCTTCGGAAACAATGGCACATTTTTCTAAGTACGTTTTAGTCATTTTTGAAGTATTAAACGAAATGTATTCAGCTCTAGGCACCGGTGCCATAGGTCTAATTTGCCTCTGCAAATTTGGATTACAAAGATCTTCTTTCATTAAGACTTCTGCAATATGTGCACTCACTTATGCTAGTTTTGTTTATATTATGCCTAGCAGAAAACGAATTGCTGCCAGCAAGAATAAAGTAGTTTGTATAACTGGATGCGATTCTGGTCTAGGATTTTCTTTAGCCCAACATACAGTCGATTTGGGTTTTACAGTAATTGCAGGATTTTTAAGCTTAGACTCCAAAGGGTGTAAGGTACTTAGAAAGAGGTACGGAAATAATATTATTCAGATACAACTTGATATTACTGATAGTGCCAGCGTAAGCGCTGCTGTCAAAACTTTGGAACATTTCTTGGGAAGAAATCCAGGATTCTGTAAGTAATTTATTCATTAAACAATTATACTAAATATTAGATTGTTTTACTTTAACACATTCGTTGTGGAGGACTTCTAAAAACACACTTCAGCTACATTCATCCACACAAGTGGGTGACGTGTACACATGTCAAGGTGTGCTTTGTACTACATTGGGTAGTAAATTGGCAGCCCTAGCATATATTATCACAAATTAGCCTTCGCAGCGAACATGTTAAGTTAAACAAATCAATTTCCCACAAATATAACACTAAACAAGTCATTAATGAGGAAATGTGAGGATGTTAATCAAATGTTTGCAGGGAACTTGGTCCCAAAATTTTTAACATATTTGTAAGAATCAGAAATGTAAACAATTTTCATTTATGAAAATTATCAATGGCTGGATTTGCTATGAAATCAAGATTATGCTTAAATTTATTTCTTGTTTTCTGTAGATACCGTGGATAGATGTAATTTTATTACTTTGATTTTTTTTAATTTTGTTACATGATTAATAAATTCTAATTTTTTTTAATATATATATATATGTAAAACAAAGACTATTAAATTAATTAATGAATAGTTTATAAATAATGCTGGTATATTATATTAGTTTGTGTTAATTTTATATTTTAATAAAAAAATTTCTTCTAGCTCTCCATGCAATTGTAAACAATGCAGGGGTTATGGTATTTGGTGAATTTGAGTGGTTGACAGAAAATCTCATACACCAACAGATAAATGTGAATTTAATGGGTACATTTAAGTTTACCAATGCATTATGTCCTCTTGTAAGGCAACATAAAGGTAAATAAGCTTAGCCTGATTTTAATAAAATATTTTTATTAAGTACTAATTAAAATCAAGTTAATACATTATTATGATTTTTCTTTTCATAGTATTTACAGTTTATATTATTGCTTAAGATTAATGAAAATTGTTCAATCAGAACATATTAAAATAACATCCTGTATATCAAAGTTAATTTATTTCGTCATAAATTAAACAGTTGAAAATAGAACGATTCTGGTCAGTGAACTTGAATACTGCAACTCAGCGAAAATATCTAGTTCGTTGTTTAATTAATTAGTAAAGTTTTGTTATCTGATTTATAATATTGTTAAATTTTGTATTATAATAATAGTTTATAAAATGTTAATTTTTTGAAAGTAAATTCTTTTTAACACCACGTTTCGTCTTTCCAACATTCTTATAATTAATAATAAAACTATTAAAAAATAGTCCTTATTTTTTAATAGTTTTATTATTAATTATAAGGATGCTGGAAAGATCTATATTTCCCTCTATATCATTTAAATATGTATACATGATAAATATATTTTCTTGTATTTCTTTTTTTTATTTTGAGCTGAATTTTACTATCTCTAAAAGGTATACCTACTGACAATTTGGTTTCTATTCTACCATTCCCTTAAAAAATCCTGAAGTTTATTTGACCTCTCAAAAATCACACCACCTGCATCTGTACTGTCTATTCCTGCTGTGGTCCTGCCTATAATTTCTAAATCTACCTTGAGAAACTTCTTTCTATCTCAAAAATGTACAGCTATACTTAATAAGTCATGCATAGTCCTGCATGGTATAGTTTGGTATTCTCTATAATTTGTACACCTAGTGTCAAAGTGAGACACCCATCTATTTTTTTTTATCTCTAAATAGTTCCATTCTTAGGAGGAAACAAACAGGATTTGCTTACAAAAGAAGAAGAAGAAATGTAATTTTTAATGTCAACTCATTTGTTCTATGACCACCAGATTACAAAATCTGCTAACGTATTTTTTATCAAACAGTTTTTGAGTTAGATGTCTTGAAACAAAACAGTAATATCTAACATAAGTTTACTTTCAGTCATAAGATACTTATAATATTAGAGAGGACACTATTGAAGATCTTTTTTTAGTTTGATATTTTTCTGATATCCTGGTATAGGAGTTATCTGTTTAGGGTGGTCATTGAGTCGCTGTTATTCTCTTGAACTTTTAAGTCTGATAACAACTTGACCCCTGAAATTTTCTGTATCTTCATCTCAAGTTACCAGAGTCCTTTTAAAAGCTGCATCAAAAGGTGGAGTAAACCATATAAATACAACTAGCGCCCAAGGTAATCTCCGAACCCAAGACATCATGCATAAGTATGGATTTATCTGTAGTGAAAAACCACTTAATGGAATTATAAATGATTTTTTGTCTTCATAGTTTGTTTACAATTAGTCAAATAGTTATGTAGCCAAGTTTCATTCTCCATAACAATTTGTCATCGAAAATATTTTATTTTTATTGTAATATTGGACTGGTTCATAGTTTGTTTTCATGACAGTTAGATCTACCGTGACAAATGTATCTTGCTTCTCACAATATTTACTTGAAACACTTAACTGATTTTGAAAAGGCTTTTGATAAGATTGACTTTATAATAATTGCAAATAAATTAAATAACTTAGTTTTTTAAAACAAATGTTCCATCTTTCCTAATTGTCATTAAGAAAACAGTAAATATTGGCTTCTCATCCAAACTATTTTTCGCTACGTCAGTGGTACCTCAAGGGTTTAATTTAGAACCCCTACTTTTTTATTATTGACCAACAATATGACGGTTTTCATTTCTTATTTAAAACTCTTGTTTGCACATGATTTAAATCTCTTTTATTTTCTGATATAGGTGACTGTCTTTTTCAGGAGCAGTTACATCAGCTGCTAATTTGGTCAATGCTTGTTCCCTAACATTAAAAAACGATGATCTTGGATAATCTATCTATGACTTTTTGTAAAAAGCTTTCTAGTTTCCTCCGACATCATCAGTGGGCTATGGAGCTTCATATTTCCTGAACGTCTCAGTTTTAGTAATTTTATGACAGTGGTATAGATATATTGATGATCAATCCCGTTTTATTTTTTTTTCTTGATAATGACGATATCTTGGTCTATTGTTTGAAGTTGACTATTATATCAGTTGTTATTCGCCTGTCCCAAACAGAACCTTTTTTATCGATTCCAGAACAGCTGCAGACTAATGTTTATAGTAAGGTAGGTGTGAGCTTAGAAGATTATTATTCATAACAAGTTGTTGGTAGATGATCTTGGCAACTTGTTTGTGACATCCTAGTTATGCGTTACCTGCTAGGTACCGAGATCCTGCTATTATATAATTAATAGTTTCACCCACTCATTCACATTTTCTACGCTTCGACCTCCAGTTTTAAGCAGTGTTTTTCGTTGTTGTGTGTTATCATAACTCTTTTCTGAATACCCATCATAAATCCTTCAATCTCCGGGTTATGTTATATTATGTTGGGAATGGATTGTTAATACACTGCGACCTAAAAGATCTATTGTGTCCCTTCTGTCGCTAATGCAGCAAGGACATATCTCTAAGCCTATAACGACCCTTTCAATCATTCTCAAGGAAGTGCAGGATTTGGGGTGGCTTCGAGTTAGGTAAATCTCCCTCTTTTATTTGATATGCTCCTAGGTATTGTGCCCTTGGATTCTGGAGTGCTACACATTCTCCCCGGAGAGTCTGCACTCACTATCTTCTAATACTGTCAGTTTACTAAGATGTCCTTTGAGTCGGCAGCTTCCGGTCTTTTCTGATTATATTCACCCAGAAGCATGTCTTAGCCACTAGAGATTGTTCCAATTATCGGTTCTTCTAATGCCCAATTATTTTTAAAATATCTCTTAATATTGTTTTATTACTGATACTGCAGAACGGCTCAGGTCCCACAGAAGGTGTTTGAGCCCCTTTCTTTGCAATATTATCTGAAACTCCTTCGAAAATTTCTATGTAGAGCCTGATCAATCCATGTTGCTTGATCTTGTTTTGTGCTTATATTAAACAAAAGCTGATGGTGTTTATACCATCAACTTGCTTGGGTAACTAACCTCATCAGACCAGCTTTAGTTATTTTCTGAATATAGATAGACAACTAAATTGAAACCGATTTTTTTTTGCTTAGGTCGAATTATTACAATATCAAGTCACTGTTCTCAAGCCACTCTACCCGGTTTAGCAGTTTACGGGGCCACAAAGGCAGCTCTAACAGCCTTCAATGACGGTCTCCGAATAGAAATGGCAAAATATGGTGTCGGTGTAACAACATTTATACCAGGATCGTTCACGTTACAAAGCAACATTATGGCAAAGCAGCTTCAAAACGTTCAAGAAATGCACGATAATTTTACTCAAGAACAGCACACATTTTACAGCGATTATTTCAAGAGGTACAACATATACTTGTCTTTTATTACTCCACCTCCGATGCCGACTAAAATCGAGGATGAAAAAATGTATTCAGTTTACGAGGAAACTCTGCTCGACGAACAGCCCAAAGTTGTGTACAAAAACGAGAATCTCAGATATTGGTTTTACCATACGTTGTTTAAGATTTCCCCTTGGTTTTTGCGGGATTATTTGGTAAATAAGTTCATGGCTATGCCCAGCTATATACCGACAAACAGCGCTAAAGATAATATGTTGGATTACGCCCAAGACGCAGATTTGTGATGTACTTAATTAAAAGTGTAAATAAATTTTATTTAAGTCGTTTTATTTGGTTTCCTTTCATTAAAATATAACATGATGGTTCAGGATTTGTAGACTTGTTTTCATTGATTGACCAAAAATAAGGTAAAGTATCAATAATGGATCGTTGGCAATGAGATGAGCTTAGTCTTTTATTTATTTATTTATTCACGGGCCTTGTCCACTTTCAGTACGCAGTTACAAATAAAAAACTCAAATAGGGTCAATCTAAATATGACATAATAATGATAAACTAACAACAAAAATCATAAATATATTAACATGTACAAAATCGAAACAACTAGTATTAAGACTAGGGAATTTAAGTCACAGTAAGTTTTAACACCCTCACAAAATTAGAAAATCTTGAATTACACAAGCATTAGCGCTTCGTGAAACTCTAGGCATGAATGAATTGAGGCCAGTATTAGTTCTCATGTAGGGCTGATGAAAACTGTTTATTGATCTTGTGCTTCTAGTTGGGGCTGCCAACAACATGCTTGAAATCGATGTAGGGCTCAAAATGAATGTGACAAGTATACTGGGAGTTCCAGAGTGAAGAGCAATATTCTAGCAGAGGCCTAACAAGATTACAGTACAATAACCTAATAGCATTAATACTTGTAAAGACTGATGTGTTACTCTTATAAACCCAAGCATACCAAGTGCTCTGGGTACTATTGTGTCAATGTAATTGACAAATGAGAGCGTGGAGTCCATAATAACACCCAGATCTCGAATGGATGCAACTTGGGACACTGATGTACCCTTGATATTATATTGATCTTCCTAGTAAAGGATATCGAGTGACAGTGATGTTTAAGTTCATAGCATTATTCCCACACCACTCATCAAGCCTAGCCAGATCAGACTGAAATTTGAGACAATCCTCAAGAGATGAAATTGCTAGGTAGCACTTTAGGTCATCAGCAAAGCATAAAAATTTGGCAAACTTTAAACATTCTGAGATATCATTTATAAATAATAAAAATAACAAAGGTCCCAAATAGAGGACTCCAGATGGATTGGGAATGTTCTTAGATCTGTAATTATTCAATTTAACAGTTTCGAATATTTCAGATAAATAACTCGCCAGCCATTGCAATAATGTTCCCATGATCCCAGCAATCTCCAGTTTATTTAACAAAAGTTTGTGATTGACCCTGTCGAACGCCTTGGAAAAGTATGTGTTTATGGCATGCACCTCACCTCCTCCATCCAAGACGTCCGACAGATAGTCAACAAAAGCAAGTAAATTCAGTTCTGTAGATTTTTGTTAAGAAACCCAAATTGTTCTTCTATTATTGATAAACTTAATTTAGATGATTTTAAGTAATCAGCTAAACAACTTTGGAATGGAACTAAGATTGCAGATGGGTCTATAGTTGGATATGTTTGATCTGTTACCAGACTTGAAAATAGGTGTAACAGAAGGGGGATACCATCAGGTCCTGGTCCCTTGGTAATGTCTATACTAGCCATCTCTTCATAAATGGTTGATATATGAATAAGATATTCAGATATGAAATGTGATTAAATGAACGGTTTACTTTGGAGATCAATATTCTTATCAGTATATACTGACTGGAAGTATTCTGCAAAAAGATCAGGTAAATCTGGTCCCAAATGACATTGACTATCATTAAAAAATAGCAATGGTGGTAAATCATTCCCATTCCGCTTTTAACAAAATTCCAAAACTGTTTTATGTTTCTATGGTCTGTTAAAGAAGACGGTTGATAGCACCTTTTTGATAAAGTTTTACAATCAGAACGTAATTTAATATAGTTAACATAATCGCTTTGTAATTCTGAACTTTTAAATTTTTTGTCAGCTTGTTTTTTCAATATTGTCAGCTGCTTTAACTCTGGGGAGAACCATAATGGAAATTTTAACTACCACGTAATAGCAAGTTATCAAAGGGTGCAGGCTGTTTGGCACATTTGACGCAATGCAAATTTGAAGAAGTTATATGTATTGCTTGTAAGTCACTTCTGTAATTGACAATTAGGCATTCCAACGACCTGTCAAACAATAGGTGCCAGTGGGAAATTCTTGTATATCTAAGGGGGTAGCGACATAGTCTTGCATCTTGGACGCTATTTTTATTCGAAATTGTAATCGCCAAGCCTGCTAATTTATGAAGAAATGTATAAGCGGGTTTTTTAAATATTATTTTTATTGTGTTTGGCATAAAATATTTAAATGTAATCCATTATTCATAATTTTACGTATAGTAGATAGAATACATCGTACGTCGCAACCCTTAGATATGTCAAAACTTCCCACTGGCAATTCATTTGTTTGGAATGCCTAATTTATTTCCTTAAATTCACTATCGAACCTAGTAGATTTTTCGTTGTACCCTGATCAATTTTAGTAATTTTTTGGAAATTGAAACCTTTGTTTTTTAAATATTGTTTAGAGACTAAAAAGCAGTTTAAAGTTATGTAACTTAGCATATACACTATCACAAAAAATGGTAGTCAACTTTTATTTATCTCAGGTTTGATTCAATTATCTGTATTTTTGTTTATAAAACTCTAGCTGTTTTTCTAAATAGTAAACATCAATAATTTATAATGCATTATAATTAATTATAATCAAGCAAAAGGGCGTTGTATTTGTCTGTTATTATTTCAAACAAATAAAAAATGACAAAAAGAAAACGATCAGATTTTTTGGCATGGAAATATATGTCATCCAGCCAATTACAATTCGTCTATAACAGAAGACCCAAATAAACCAAAGCAAGATAAATATAAAAGAAATAAAACTCGCTTCTCTTACAGAGGTTTGTCAGGACTTTTTTTAAAAACAAACAAACCTAAGCCTTGATGAAAAGGCATAAACATATATGTATAAAACAAAAGAATCAGATATATTAATGTAATTAAAAACAACAGCCTATAGTGATATAAAAAGTATACTACTATAATACATCTATTAGTCCCTTTTCTTTTTTTCCTTGCCTGCCAATTTTTTTGACCTTTTCTCAATATGTTTGTGAACTTTGTTAGACTTTTTCAGTTCTTCATACTTCTCGATCAAATTTTCTAATTTTTGAACAGCTAAAAAGATAATTTAACATTAGCAATGTTAAATATTAAGATTTGAATCACAAAAGTTGTAAAGAAATTCACTTTTATTACTTACATCTCTTTTTGAATTTAGGTTTTTCTCCTCTCCTTAATTGTTCTCTTATTTCAGTACTGTTCTGTTTTTTCTTCAATTCTTCTTTATCAGTTCTTTCATTTTCCCTAATTTGATTTTTCTAAAATAAAATTATATTTTGTATTTTATGAAATTAAAAACAAGAAGTAATACTTTAACTTTCATGGGACAGACATTAAACTTTTATGAAAAAGACCTCACACTTAAAATTGCAAAAACGATGTATTTTTTTCTTATAATTACCTCTATAAAATAATAATTTTATTAAAATTTAGTATCAAGCATTTATTGGTACAAAATCACATTGAAAAACTACAAAATACCCCAATAACTAATACTAATGACTATCTCTGATTTTCAATGTTTTAGGCCCACAACATTATTGTACTTAACACATATTTTCCTGTCTTTTCCTCTTCAACACATAAGGCAATGCTCTCTGGTAAAAATTTGTTATATTTATCTAAATAGACCCCCAGATATAAAACTATAGTTAGCCATTAAACATTAATAAACAAATCAATATTTTATTAAAATAGCACATAAACTGCAGCTAGATGGAAGATCAATATTTAAAAATTCATATGTGAAAAGATACAGCAATAACTATGAAAATTAAAAAAGAAGTACTTACCATTCGTTGCAACAAACTTTTAATGATCTTTTTTCTATTGGGATCAACACAATTTTCAAGTTCCTCTTCTAATTGTCGTGTTTCATCTAATCGAATATCATTTACAAAACCATAATTAGCTTTAAAGGTTTCTTTTTCAAATTGCCCGCACAAAGGATCAAATCTGGGATCGCGAGGAATAGGTTTTTTCAATATAACACTACTGTTTGACTCTGATTTTAATTCCTGTTTTAACCTTTGTGGTCTGATTTTCGAGCTAAGTTCCCTGGGTCTGTTTTTATTTGCCCGTTTAAGATTTTTATTTTTCTTGGTGGTCGTCTCATTAAATACAGTTTTGTTAAAAGTTTTTGAACCGATTTGTTCTTTTAACTTTAATAACTGTTCGAAGCTTAAATTAGAAATGCTTTCTCTTATTTTATTTCTTTCTTCGTCTTCGAATTCCATATTTATTTTGAACTTTTATCGAACTAAAAGTAAGGTTATGCTTGTTGCTGTCAATTTCTTCTCAAATATATTATCATCAATGCTATATGTAGTTCTATAGATTGCACACATATATAAAACGAAAATCCAAGTATTCGCTGAACCATGCTGAACAAAACCGTTCTAACTCAAACGAGTTTTAAAAGGGCTCTATCAAGCTAGCGGGCACTCTGTGGCGGCACCATACAAGACCTGGTCGGTTTTTTGTAGCTTTTTTGTAGCTTTTTTGTTACGCTATTTGCGAATTTGTAGCTTTGCCCAGGTCCGAAAAAACAGCGGATCCGCTAGCTTGAATTTCCATAAATTCCATAGTAGCGGCACAGATTCAGACCCAGCTGGTTTTTCGTAACTTTTTTGTAGCTTTTTTGTTACGCTAGTCTCCCTTTTGTAGCTTGTACTGAACCTGAGAAAAGCGCGGATCCGCTAGCTTAGCGGATATTTTTAGCGGCACCAGCTCGGACCAGGCTCATTTTTTGTAACTTTTTTGTAGCTTTTTTGTTACGCCTGTCTCCATTTCGTTGCGAGGCCTGAACGTGAGTAATAATCGCTCCATGAGCGTGAGAGAAAAGTGCGTTAATTAAAATAAAGTTTCAGCCTCTACAAGTAATATGTGCAACTCGATAGTGTGACTATCTGTTGATAGATGGCACCAGTATTGCATTTCACGAATTATGGCCATCTTCCATCCAATATATTTTTGAGAAATTTAGATATTATTGCTGCGTTTGAGAATCCACATCGGATGCATCTGAGATGTAAAAAATCTTTGATCACGTAATTCAGTATACGTAAATGTAATGGGACAGATGTGTCCGATGTGGATAATGTAAAAAATGCATCCAAAGTGGATTCTCAAACGCGGCAAATCATTGTATAACAGAAGTAAAAGTTGGAAATGCTTTTGCCAGTTCTCCCACTTTATACACACAAATTGACAGGTTATCAGCGGATCTCACCGAAGTGGACACGATACATTGGCGTACAAAATTATTTTATAGATGTTAATAACAATTTCGAGTAAATAGTTTAATAAATTGTGAATAGCTGTTGAAATTTTGTAAAATTATAATTTGAATATTATAATACATGTTTAATAATTATTTATAATCCATAAATACATGCGATTGTCCGGTTCCGCCAATAACAATTTAAAATTACTTATTCTATGAAACGACACTGGCAGGTAATCATTACTGTGAAATTCTCGGAGCCGCCTGACGTGGTTTGACGTTTACCCCCTCTCTACCTACCAAAAGACTTTTCAACTTTTACTTTCTCTATACCTTCACTTAAAATCTCAAAATATCAAGAGGTAGGCTACCAGTTGTACATTTTGGATAAATATGTGTTGCCTAACATAGTAGTAAAAGTCAAAATGGCCGCGCCCTATGTTGGGCGTGTCAGACCTCTTTAAAAGTATGTGGTTTAGTGTCATGATAGGTCTTTTCCTTTGCATCGAAAGTGTAGCACTGAACTACACCACTTCTGAAAATATCGTTCCATTTATACAAATTGTATGGATGGAACGGTATTTTCAGAAGTGGCGTAGCTCAGTGCTACACTTCCGATGCAAAGGAAAATACCTGTTTAGTGTTTAGTCCAATTAGTGACAGTTTAACACGCTTAAATGTCATTTAAAAGTACCCTAAAAAACTCCGTTTTTTTCCCGCTCCTGCCCCTGACTAACCGAACTCGCCTTCTGTGTGTCGGTTTGTTCGTTGGCTTGGTTTTGTATAACAAAAAAAACTTCGACACAAGCTGATTGGTCTATTCCCGATGACGTATACATTTCAAATTTTAAATTTCAATTGTGCTTAATTTAAAAACTTTTAGCTTTTTTAACGAATTGATTATTTAGAATAACTTGTATAGCGACTAACTATTACAATATAATTTATAAAACAGCTTATATCTCACATGTGAACATGGCCCATTACTATGGGATACTACTATACGGGGTGGCTCGTCTGAGATGGAACACTATATAGTGAGAATAGGTGGTAATTGCTTGGTAGCTATTACCACCGGTGTGAAGTTAGCAGTAAATTTTTAGCAGTAAAAATATCCGAAAACACCCGATTGGGAAAATAGTGGCGTCCGGCATACAACTATTTTAATAATCTTGTCAATATGTATTTTACATTAATATCGAACAAATAATTAATATACATACCTTTGAAAATGTCCGATTTTGAGATTATATTTAAATTTCTCAAAAATATATTGGATGGAAGATGGCCATAATTCGTGAAATGCAATACTGGTGCCATCTATCAACAAATAGTCACACTATCGAGTTGCACATATTACTTGTAGAGGCTGAAACTTGATTTTAATTAACGCACTTTTCTCTCACGCTCATGGAGAAACGATTATTACTCACGTTCAGGCCTCGCAACGAAATGGAGACAGGTGTAACAAAAAAGCTACAAAAAAGTTACAAAAAATGAGCCTGGTCCGAGCTGGTGCCGCTAAAAATATCCGCTAAGCTAGCGGATCCGCGCTTTTCTCAGGTTGAGTACAAGCTACAAAAGGGAGACTAGCGTAACAAAAAAGCTACAAAAAAGTTACGAAAAACCAGCTGGGTCTGAATCTGTGCCGCTACTATGGAATTTATGGAAATTCAAGCTAGCGGATCCGCTGTTTTTTCGGACCTGGGCAAAGCTACAAATTCGCAAATAGCGTAACAAAAAAGCTACAAAAAACCCACCAGGTCTTGTATGGTGCCGCCACAGAGTGCCCGCTAGCTTGATATAGCTTTTTAAAAGGTCTGTTCTGATTCTTCAAAGATATGTTGAAAAATGTCCTAGTACTAGTTAACCAGTAGAAAGTTTAAAAGTTTTACGCGACGAATAATTTGGTATTTAACTGTTCCGTTGAAGCTCGCACGTTTTACAGCACATTTTGAAGAAACCAGTACAAGCCTAAAATAATCTTTCAGCATTTGAATATTTAGAAAATAAAAAGTATTGCACAACAAGAAGAACCAAGTTTATCTTGAGCTGAGGTTAAACTCGCCTTGTAGGTATATATTCCAATTTCTAACCCGATTCTGTAAATAATTTGTTTAAAACTAGATACTCAACATTGCGACAAAACATTGCATGTATTCAGATAAAGAGAAAATTACTTATGAAACCCGTTTTTCGTCGTCGATTTACATATGAATGAGCAATCTATGTCATTGGTTATATTACTGTCAAGTGTCAAATATATTTTCTTCTTTTTATGATAAACCAAATAAGTCATTCAGCTCACTTGCTTATGGGCATTGCGTTCGGTCTGCCAAGTTCCTTTAACACTTTCAACTCCAAACGACTCTTTTAGCGTTCGGTTTAGTCCGATTAGTGACAGTTTAACACGCTTAAATGTCATTTAAAAGCACCCTAAAATTTGTCCCGCTCCAGCCCCTGACTATCCGAACTCGCCTGGGGTACATAGGATTATAAGCAGTCCAAATACACTAGTGTATAAAAACAGAACTTTAGTATTTCTATTAATTAGCTAAAGGACGTTTGAGCCATTTCTCTACCTTTTCCCGAAATACAATAACTCCTCACTCTAGAAAACAAAATCCCTGGCAAAACATACTCTGCCAAGTTGGACATAGTTAATTTTGCATACAATTGGCACAGTTATGTTTTGGCCTTGCCTAAGTTACATATAGATATATTTTTTTGAACCCTTACTATAAATAATTTACTCCAACCTCCTTTTTCAAATGTAGACATATTAAAACACATTGAAATTAAACTATTTTTTAAACTAATATATACAAGACTAATGTTCTTAAAATCTATCCCGTTCTCAACATTTTAGCATCCTTTTTCTCTTGAAGGTCCCTCTTTTGTTGTTCTTCTATCAATTTCCTTTCTTCCAAAAACTGTCCATATTCTTTGGGGTCCACCTCTTTAACAACTTCTATTCCACAAGATTTTGCTATTCCAATAACTCTTTTACAAATCTCCTCTAGTGGCAAAACTTCCAAAGCAGGATCTGAATGTTTAACTTGTGCTATTTCATAGACATGTTTTAGTGTTATTTTGCCAGCTATTTCTTTACCTAAAAATATATACAATTTTTGCACTAAAGTAACAAATTATTTTAATTGTTTATTGGTCCACTGATTACCTGGCTCCATAGCAGCTCTTTGGATACCTGCAGCTTGTTTTAAAAAATAAACAACAGGAGGTTTATTTATTACAAGTTCATAACTTCTGTCAGGATTCACAGTAATTCTACATGGTAATGGTATCCCTTCTTGGATATCTTTGGTTTTTTCATTGAAATCTTTACAAAACGCAGCTATATTTATTCCTCTCTAAAAAAATAGGTATTAATAATGAATAAACATGTAATTATTTCTTTAAAGTATTACTTGTCCGAGCATTGGTCCTAATGGAGGTCCTGCAGCTGCCAGACCAGCTGGTATATTGGTTCTAATTTTACCGTGTTGTATTTTTTCAGTAACTTTCTTTAAAGATTTTAATCTGGCGGCCGCTTTAGACATTTTTTCATTAATTAATGTAGAGATCGAGAAGTAAAATAGTAAATAGATTTGTTGAGGTTAGGTGAGAAAATAGGCATTAATTTCGTCTTCTTTTAATTTTATCTATATGTGGCCTGTAACTTAACTAATTATCAGCTCGTTTTTTTTCTTAGTTTATGGATCAATTAATTTTAAAAGGAATGAATTAATATTATATGGAAATACAGGAACTCAATACATTAAAAGAAATGCAAAATACGTAATGAATAGATGACGATAATTATCTATTTGAATTTGTCTTTGATTAACTATAATTATTTAATAATAAACGTCAAATAGACACATTATAAATCTAAATTTTTGTAAAGCTACAGAAGGTTGAATTTAAAAATAAAGAAATGTCATCAATGAAAAGACTATTTCTATTGGAATTCTTTATTTCTAAGATCAAAATAGAATCATCTGTTCCTCAATTCAGGAGCATAGCGGTTCACCTCTTTTCTGATAAAGTTTTAGATTTAAAAATCGCAGCAGAAGAATTTGAAGCCGACAGAGGTGTTAGACAAACATTAAATCATCTGTTCCCTATGTATAAAAAGAAATAATTATTTTTCAGATGTTCAAGCAGTTGATGGCGAATTTAAGGCAGACATGGGAAAAACGTTCCTTTTTCAATCAAAAGCTGAAGATCTGGTACGCCAACTTGACCAAAAATCGCTCGAAATAAATTTGCTAGTGTCCGGTAAAACCATCGGATCGACCTCATTTCCGTGGAAAAAAGAATTCATTGACATGATACAGACCTATGAATCGGTTGGGATAGTAAGAAGCGTGAATTATGAGGGTAAATTTAATCTAACGAACTCGAGTAAACAAGTTGCTGGAAACATTGTATTGGCGGTAAAGATGTCCTGTTTGGGAGAGACTGCCGAAACTTATCTTAATCTTCAAGGCAGAGAAGCTCTTTTTATAAACCCGAAGACTTTTCAACATATTAAATGTGATAAGTGAGTTTTTTTTTATAAAAACTAATCTGAAAGATTAGTAAAATCTGAGGCTTACATTTTAGCGCTACAGAAGTTGTCTTAGATTAAGAAAGAGAGCGGACGCATAATTAGTATTTCAGGCAGACGTACATAATTGTAGCCAACATTTTTTTGGTGCCAAATAATCTGTGGTGTCATTGTGTATTTTCGTCTTATTACATTAATCAAAGAGAGTATTAATATTAAGTGATTACAATGGTAAACATGTTCAGCTTTTCGATATTACAGCCGAAAAAGGAAGAAGGAATTATACATTTCACAGGGAAAATGTATTAGACAAATAAACATAATTTAAAAAATAATTTATCAAAATTTGAGGGTAAACAGTCATTAAAACCTTGAACATACCAAATATATTATCGCAATGACCTTCAATGAACCATTAGAAGAAGCAATAAGCTACTAAATCAAGTCATTAAAGTTCGTTACTTATACTGTATAAACAACTTAAAATAGTACTTAAGAAAATGCTGCATTTAGTAAACTGGTTAGTCAAGTAAATGTAGATTTAGTTTCTATTTATTTTTAAGCAAGTTTCACTACTACATCAGTGCAACTAAATGCCGAATAAACAAGTTCAGACAGGTTTTGTAATTAGTAAAGTTCATTAATAGAATGCAAATTGTAGTGTTGGTTTCAATTTGTCTACAGACGACTTAAATATATGTCTCGTTGGAGTGAAGTTTTACTTTATGCGGTAAATTCTGGCCGAATATTTATAGTATCTACTTATGATTAATCATTCTGTTCATATCCTAAATATTTTATAATTAAACTATTTCAGATACGAATTTGACAATGATAAAATCCACCCTGTATCTGCTCTATATAATCCAATCGTAGCTGAACGTATAACGAGCGCTGCTAAATATTCTTGGGATCAAATATTTGGAACGAAGGCTGGTGACGCGAAAAGTATTGGTCCTATGGGGATGGATACTGAACCGGGTGGTAAGATTAGTACAATTATACAGTATGTTCAAATTATATTTGTTTCCAAGCTAATTCTGATTCAAATTCTTTTTAAAAAGTGGTTAAATTGGGGTATAATAACTATTAAAAATATACACAATTTTAATCCAAATACGCCCCTGAGCAGCTACGCGCTTGAATAAAAATTAAACCTCATGATAAACTCCGACGTCGTGAGACCAGACGTGCGAGCGAAAAGTAACATAGGCCTGGCTGTCTAGTGAAGCGTAAGAATATCTTGATACAATACCAGTCCTCGAGCCAGGTGCATAGCTATAATTTCATTGGATTGAGGCTGTGGTTTATCATTAGTAGTGATTATGTCACCAGACAAGTTGTATCTAGAATTGTTTTATTGTTCACCCACTTTTATTTTGTTTTTTAAATAAAACAACAACATGAGTCAAATGTCAAATGAGTGGTCGTTTAAGTTTACTGACTGATACTCGTTGAGTTTCAGGTGTTGGTAAGTCAATTTCCCGCACGCGACACGAGGCCATGAGCCGTGAAAGCATTGCTGTTTCAATGCGATATAGACCTCCGGAATATAAATTTATGGACATCATGAATTTGGTGACAGCAGAAGTTGAAACCAGAAACGAAGAAACCATTGTTAATATAGCGATAGATAAAAAAAGGTCAAATGCGGTAAGTAATAATATATTGTTTTGGTAGTTGAAGTATAATACGACCTCTTCAAATTTATGATTTAGATAATGCCGGAACGTGCTAAAAAGAAAAAGAATGTTCGTCCGTTAGATACGAGTGATCAACTAACAGAGGAGGAACTCAACGAAAAACTGTGTAGAAATTGTGATTGTGAAGCGTTGAAAAAGTTTCATGAACAAGGCATAGGTCCGAGATACAGACCTTCTGGTATGTAACACCTCCAGCAACCATTAATAGCTTAAAAGCGATGTGATCAATTTCCCATTAATAGATATATCTGTAGAAATGTCTCTTCAAAAAAAACCCACACTGATTGGTATGATAAAAGGAATTAGCTTCTTAGAGGTACGGCTTATACGGCAAAATTGTCGTCTTTTTGACAGATGTATATATCTTTTCAAACAAAATGGATGCCTGGTAAAGACAAAGAAGTAGAGAGGGTAGAACGATAAGGTACCGTCTGCGCATCCATCACGAGTGTAGAAATTATGCGTACACACGTAAATGACAAGGAGAGGTTGCCCTAAAGCACTGTAAACAAATTCCAGGATCGACTTTATTCAGCCATTATGTTCATGTTCAGCTCTGTTTTTTGTTTGTGTTTTGGCTGTTGTAAGCTTTTTTGGCGTCAATTCTTTGTTATCTTGCTTATATTTATGATTTTTTATGCTTTTATTCCGATTTAGTATTAAATTATACTTGTTAATTATTTTTCGATGCACTATTTTATAATTGTTGCACAAAATGTTGTTAAACCGTCCCTGAATTTTGTTTACAAAATGTGCAAAACGAAATTGTGCATAGTGTCCAGACTTTTCATTGACAGTTATCATTCTACCCCTCTCCACTTCATTGGGTAAAGATCATCAACAATTCTATATTGAGTTTAGTGTTCTGTGATTGAGTTGATACGTATTTGATTGTAATTTATGTTCGTAAAATGTCTTTTCGTAAAACGAATAATTCTAGTTTTTGAGTGACATTTTGTTCAAAATTTTTCCTCAAACCACAAAGTTACCGTTATTTAAACTAATTATGCACAAAAACAATTAGACACATTAGTAAACAAATGTTTGTGTGTCGAAACCACAAAACACTACCAAATTCATCAGGCAACCATTTGGACAGGACATTGGAACGCCTATTACGGCCAATTTGCCAGCTTTTTTAAAATATGTCACTGCACACAATTTAAAAAAAAACTGTAGGTAGATTTAATAATGATTTCTTATTGTTCTGGAACAGTATAAAAACTATTAACCGCTGATAATGTTTAGGACTGGGAGAATTTTACGAAATCGCAGAGCCATCTACGACTTACGGGATGTATCACGTTTTCGAAAATCTTTCTAGATATGGACCGCAAAGTTTTTACAGGAGTCCGAAGGATCCGTATCAAAAGTACACTCCTGCAGGTAAGAAACAGAGGTTTGTTAGCTATTTCTAACTAGAAAACGACACATTCTAATGTATAAGAAATATGAAATTATGTAAACATTTTCATTAGAAATTCTATAAGAAATTCTATAAGAAATTCTATAAGAAATTCTATAAGAAATTCTATAAGAAATTCTATAAGAAATTCTATAAGAAATTCTGTAAGAAATTCTGTAAGAAATTCTGTAAGAAATTCTATAAGAAATTCTATAAGAAATTCTATAAGAAATTCTATAAGAAATTCTATAAGAAATTCTATAAGAAATTTTATAAGAAATTCTATAAGAAATAAGAAATTCTATAAGAAATTCTATAAGAAATTCTATAAGAAATTCTATAAGAAATTCTATAAGAAATTCTATAAGAAATTCTATAAGAAATTCTATAAGAAATTCTATAAGAAATTCTATAAGAAATTCTATAAGAAATTCTATAAGAAATTCTATAAGAAATTCTATAAGAAATTCTATAAGAAATTCTATAAGAAATTCTATAAGAAATTCTATAAGAAATTCTATAAGAAATTCTATAAGAAATTCTATAAGAAATTCTATAAGAAATTCTATAAGAAATTCTATAAGAAATTCTATAAGAAATTCTATAAGAAATTCTATAAGAAATTCTATAAGAAATTCTATAAAAAATTCTATAAAAAATTCTATAAAAAATTCTATAAAAAATTCTATAAAAAATTCTATAAAAAATTCTATAAAAAATTCTATAAGAAATTCTATAAGAAATTTTACAAAAAATTTCAAGGTTCATTGTCATAAAAGAAATAAATATTAAAATGGTTTTAAAGTATATTCTACGCATGTTCTAAAAACATTCTAAAAAGTATATCGCGTGAGGTAGGTCGTAGTGCGTTAATAATCCATACCCAGGGAACATAAACAGATCGTTATTTTTAGTGTATTCATAGAACATTGATGTTATGTGGGTAGAAACTAATTGACGCATACAATATGTCATTTAATTTTTAAATAAAAATTATAAGAGCGAAAGTTTTTCACTCTAGAGCAGAAATATAACTTCTCACGGAAACTTTCAGCTGATATTTCAAAGCATGACAATAACAATTTTTTGTACCTCTGGGACTAAAACGTGCATTTTACTCCCTAATTGTCACTTTTACTCCCTTGGGACTAACATATTCGGGAGGTAATATATAGCAAGACCTGCGGTAAAAATTACGTATGTACCACGAGACTAAAGTGCGCTTTAATCCCCTAAGTGATAGTTGCCCTCGCTCCGCTCAGGGATTAAAAGTGACACTTTAGTCCCTTGATGCATAATATACTATTGTCAGTTTTTAAGGACTTTAATCAATTTTCTTTTGTATTACATTATGTTTCAGCTAGTAAATTTCATGGACCAGAAAGAATTAAAGATAACGAACTTTGTTATTGTCAACCGTTGCCTGATAAGGCGCTAGCAGGTGACGAATTGTGTTGCTGCTGTCGTATACACCAACAACAGAAGACCAGATTGAGGGGAGGTGGAGAAACAAAACGAAAAATGAAGTTGTGTAAAATGTGTAAGCATGCTGCAGAAAATATCGCTGGTAGGGCAGGTAGGTAATAAAGCGATAAAGAGGTGTTTATTTTCCAAAAATTCTAGTACAGTTTGTAATAAGTATTTGAAATTAATGAAAAATTATTAGTCAAAACAAAATCTGTGTTAAAATTTAAAATGGCGTAGCTATTTTTTCGACCAATATCTATTGTTATTATCTACTTAGATAGTTATCTTTTATTTAAATACATAATAAGTCAGGTAGTACAGCAATAAATGGAGCTAGTGCGATAATCAAAAAGTGTAATTTCTATAGTTAGCTATTTTCTCTTTGAGAGATCATCACAATAAAATCCTTAAAATACATTATTATTACAGTTAAATTACAGTTACTATTACATTTACTATAACAGTTACTATTACAGTAACTATTACACTTACTGTTACAATTACTATTACAGTTACTATTACAGTTACTATTACAGTTACTATTACAGTAACTATTACAGTTACTATTACAGTTACTATTACAGTTACTATTACAGTTACTGTTACAGTTACTATTACAGTCTGTTACTATTCCAGTTATTACAGTTACTATTACAGTAACTAATAAACTTATATTGCTTTTTATAAAAATATATCCTAGATAGTATTCTTGAACCAATACAATTCTTTTTTTAGATAAATGCAACTTTCCATTGCGGTTACGAGGGGGAGGAATTATAGAGAAAAATGAAGAAAAACTTAGTCGTAAACCGTGGGATCCTATTATAACAGAAATAATTAAAAAAATCATTGACCAAGTCTCTATATAATCCAAGAATATTAATAATTGTTCACTTTTCAGTGATTACAATATGTAGCTATTATTTATATTTTATTATTTGAAATAAATTCCAGAGAATATTAAGTTTTTTATTTGTGAAATATGTATTTTGAAATGGGTAAAATGAAAACACAATAAAGAACAGAATAAATTTTATTTATTTGAGATTTTTAAGGCCATTATCAGAATTTTAAATAACATTTCATATACGACCATATTTTTTTTATATTCTACCATTGTGTGAAATTAGTCATCAAGTAAGACATTTAAAGAATTACTAAAAATTGTGTCAAATATAAATAATTTACTGCAAGAGAAACTTATTATTTTTGTAAAAGTAACAGCACCTACCAAAATCTTTTATCTGGTATAAAACACGTTTCAGCTCTATTAAAGTAAGTCCCTAAATAAATATACTTTTATAAATACTAGATTGATGTTGCCTAAATGCTATGTTTAAACACGATGCATCATATTTCAAACACTCACAAATACCAAAACATATGATGAGAGATAATTGCAATTTACATGGTCATATTCGAAAATACCAAAGCAATTGATAAGAGATAATTGCAACGTAATTATATTATTTAAACAAGTTGAAATTAATCTAAAGCAAGTATTCGAAGAATATGTCTCACCTGCTATGATTTTTGATGGGTTTAAATAGATATTTTCTAAATGTTGGTCAAAAAATTATGGAACTCTAGTAATATTAAAATATTTTTCTCTTAAAAATAGTATTATATGGGCTTTGTTAAGTTTAAAATCATGTAATCTTAGACAGTAACAATATTTATTATCATGCTTATGGCGTGGTTTGCTAAACAACCATCTGACAAAGAATAGTTAGGTTTTATTCAAAATAATGTTCCAGAACTGCTGAAAAATGAAAATATTGGAAGTATATACCTAGTTTTATCACAATTTTAGAATAATTGAAAGAGATGTTCTAAATTAGAATTTTTAATTTTCCTAACATGGATAAATAACTGACCGGCTAGAAAATGGTAGCAAATCATATAAACCGAGTTGAGGTCGAATCTTGTACTCAAATTAAGAATTAAGTCGTTGATGAGATCAGGACGGCAACCACCCGGAGATCGTAAGTGCAAGTCCTGCTCAAACAGATTTTTTCAAAACAATTTTTCTTTGTTTTGTTATCACCCCTCGGATTCTAGAATTTACCTCTAATACTTTAACTTAATTATTATATGGTCGAAGATTAAAGATATAAGACTTCTTTGTAAACTGATTTTATTTCTACAATTAGTTATATATTTATGTGCCTGTACCTACATATTTGAAAATCTCTCTTGCAAATTTATTAAACGTTTTTTGTGTAATTCTGCAATTCGTAAACTGTTCACTACATTTGCCGTTCTTCGTTCCATGAATAATGGCCGAATACAGGGGTGTATTGAAAACTTGCTCTAAAAACCAATCGCTCGATGAGACTCCGTCGATGATCTTGTTCATGCTGCTTCCGTTTCCATTCAGATTATCTTGTTTGGACTTGTTGATCAAGGAACAGATGCTTCTTTGCAGACAGGATGTAGTGTCGATATCGTTTTCCATAAACACTGCATCCAGATATGTTAAGTATCGCCAGAGTATTGAAGGTTCTTCTTCAATTTCTGCAAATAAATGTCCTATTTGAATGGTATTTTAAATTGAAAGAGAATTAATAATTTTAAATTGTTCTGGAAGTAAAATAAAAATACAATTTATTCTAATAAATTGTTTTTATTATTTAACAAAATTGGAAAATAAATGTATTATATTTATTAACAGAAAAAAAAGTTAAAATAGTAGTGACTTAGACAAACGTGTTATACTTCATTGGAAAATTTTTATAATACATATTGATAGGCCTCGTATATATCTTTTATCGTAGATGTCACACTCTGTACATCATTAGACAGTAAAATATAATTTTCGCCCTTTCGCATCAACAGTGTAGTTATCAATCACAAATTTTAGGTCATGCGTTGATCAAACGTCAAACCCCAATATTCATTTTTAATTAATTTTATATATCTTTGAAATTTTTGTATTTAAAATATCCAAGTATTCGAATCCGGAATGTCCGATCAATTATTTTTGTGGGAATTTCTGATATCAAAGATCAAATTCGATCCGGGTGCGGTCAGTGTGCCTTCTTACGATAGCATCAGGCTGATGTTTCTTTGTTCGGACATCTTGGGAACCGAAATACTTACTGATGAGTGCCCAGTCGATGATATTAACCCTGGTAAGTGTTTTACACTCAATATAAGACATGTTTGAGAGTTATTTTTCACACTTTCAATTTGGGAGTGAACATATTTAGTTCCGATTTGCTTTTTTATAGATGCTAAGCCCAATAATGGAGAATTTAACGTAAAAATCGGTAAAACCTCCCTGTTTACCATCAACCCAGACGAATTAAAGGAAGAACTACAAAAAAAATCACTGACAATAGATCTGTACCTATCATCGAAAAAGGTAGGCTCGGCTTCCTTCAAATGGCCATCCGTATTTCCAGATTTCGTAAAGAACTCAGCGTCTGGATCGAAACCAGCCAGCATCGTTCATATGGGGTCTTTTGATTTCGTCGATTCTGGCGGTAAAAAGATAGCCAACATTAACATGGGTATCAAGTTAGGGTACTTGGGTGAAAACGTCGAAACTGCTTTTAGTTTGAAGTTTAAGGATGCGATTTTTGTCAATCCCAAGACTAACACTAAATTCAAAAGCGAAAAGTGAGTAAAACAACCTCTGTAATTTAACATCGATATCTTGGCATGTTTCGGAAAAATCATAATATTGTAACTTAGGGGAAGGTTGCCTATAGTGGTCTAGTTTTAGGGCTCTAACTTTAAGAAAACAAATGAAAATTCTTTAAAATTTAGACACCAAATACTTTAATATGTTGTCCATTTTCAGTATTTTTTTTAGATTTTTTTGTTGAATAGTTTTTCATAGAAAAATTTAATCTGGAACCCTTGCAGCTGGTCCATTATAGGAAACTGGTTGCCTAAATTGCATGGTATAAAAAATAAAAGGTAGGATATCAACAGTATCAAAAATAGGACGGCCACGCGCATGACGTCACGCGTAGATTTTGTAGAGGCGCGAATTTAAAAATACTGACGAAGTGTGAGGAAAGAATATGCTACTTACAGAAATTTAATGAATGTTAAGGATAATATTTTAGAAATTACATGTAATATTATCTATGGATATTATTATGGGATAGTTAAGGAAATAAAAATATGAAGGAACATAAAGGCAAATTCATACATAAAAGAAGTATTTATTTAAACAGTTTTTATTTCCTTTTTCTTTTTTAATGATTTAGTTTGGTTATACAAATTCGAGTTCTAAATAGTTGGGGATCCAGGTAACTATTTCGTATCTGGATATGCTAGAAATTTTTATCTAATTACTCATTTACCTGCATTATATTACCAAATTGAATAAAAATAGGTTTTAAAAAATAAGTTTTTTCATATGATATAATGCAGATATTCATATAATATAATGCAAAGTATAAAAAAATGTACGAAATACAAATAACAGCTACATAACATATTGTGGGTGCATATATACAGAACTAAAATAAAATGTCACTGAAATTTTCGTGGACATAGTCGACAGTTTTTTAAAATCATTCATCAAGTACAAGTCGAAATTTTCTTTTTTTTGCGACATTTACAATTTCACTTATATTGCTTATAATGCGAAATTTTTAGCCTTCAAAGGGTAGACTTTCCAGTTTAGAAGTTCGAAGTTGAGAAGGAACCAATGTGAAGTTCTGATTTGAGGTCCCTCTTATAATTGGAAGGTTGAAAGTGCTTGGAATACATATGAAAATTTATTTGCAGGGTTACAAGCCACTGCAAGGGCTGCTCCATGTCGAATTTTCTTGGGAAGAAGGGTAGATTTGCCTATTTAGCATATTTTTTTTAAATAAAAGGCTAATGGATTTTAAGAATTTTAATCTAGGAAACGGCATGCTCCCCTGAGCCTCCACTGGAGCTGACCTTGGGCCACTCCTCACGTCTGACTACGCTCTTACTGTCGAGGAAAGCAAAAAACCATAATATCTTTCTTGAATTCTGTGCTTTAATTGTTACTGTTACACCCATACCGCAATTTTTCGAGGTTTTTCACTAAAACCACTCACAAAGAACAATTTACAACATAATATAGTACAAATATCTGTTTATTATCTTATAAATCACTATAATCGACTCACAAACTACTGCAATATGCGTCTGTCATATGATATTTATTTCGCGCCAACTCTACTAACTCTACGCATGACGTCAGCGCCGCTTTGACACCATGCGGGATATCCCCCCCTGCCTCAATTGAATAGGTGTGGTCCTATATTGGACCAATTATTTTAGTTACGTAAAATTAAATAGAACTATATTTTATTTCGTACCAGCTCTATTGCCTCAAGATTTTTCGAGTAAGTACTGTGGCCGTCTGAAACAAGCAATACTTTATTGGTCTTTGTTAGTTTTACTGCATTGATAAAAGATTTAAGCCAGGCAACAAATAGTTTTTTGTTGATGTATCCGGTGTCAGATATTTCTACTAGGCAGTTTAGAAGGTATTTCAACTCTGAGATCTGGATTAACTCTTTTTCGCTTGAATATTATCATTGGTACAACAAATTGACCGGCTGCACTGGTGCATACGACCATCGTGGTATTCACCCCACGTTCGCCACTAGCAACCGAACCTACTTGGCGCTTGCCCTTTAGGGCTAGAATTTTCTGGCACTTCTTGAAAAACCAGACTCGTCTACATTGAGCATTTTTATTGCATTAAGCTGGAATTAATCGACAATTTTTCTAGAAGTTCGAAGAACTGAGTAACATTTTCTCTATTGAATCCCTTGCACCTAGCTATGGAGGTAGATTCCGGTTGCCTCAATAAAAGGTTGGGATGCCTGAGCATAAATGCATAGAACCACTTTTTACCAGCCTGTCTTTTTTCTCTATTGAAATTGTGTTTGATGTTGTTTTTTCTCCGCCAGTTTATACGCTGCATTAAGGACATCTTTTATGGTGATCCCATAAAATATCTTCTCTAGGTTAAGGATATGCTCCGCCAACCTCTCGTCAAATTCCGGTGAAAAGACGGTGCCTCGTCCGAAGATTTTACTCTTGGTTAGCTACTATATTTTTTTGAGTCCAAATGTCGTTTGAACGTCGCTTTTGGGAATGCGGCATATTTTATTAAAACCATATTTTTTGCCCTTGTAAGCCTCTAAGGCTTTCGCCATATCCGCTTCACTTCATTTGCCATATTTTATGCCTTTTCTATTATTGGAAGACATTCTGGAACAAAGTAAAACATTGATAGCCTATATTGGATCACGCCCTTGACACTACGTAACTGTCTAATTTAAAATTGTAAAAATGTATTTTGATTATTGTAGCACTTCATATTTACACAAAGTCCAACATTTAAATACATAAACATAACAAGTAATTCTAGTTTCCTACACAACACTGTGGTGGTTCAATTAAGGAAACAGCCAGTTATTTTCTAAAATCACATGTTTAACATTTCAATGTATAGGGGTTCGATCTTTTTAATAGCGATATGGAAAGGGTAAAACTTACTTTTTTTAATAAAAATAGTAGCACTAGGTGAATTTCCAACGTTTGCTACACAAACATTTACGAATTATTCACAAAACGTAGATCGAAACCGCAAAAACCGCCAAACACGTCGTAGGGAGGCGAAACCAATGAACTGGAGGGGGGTAGAATGCCAATGTACCTGTTGTACTATTAGAACAAGGTGCGACTCGATGGGCGCAGCCATTTTTATTGTTCATCTCACTCGGGACTATTTATAATAACCATTTTCTGTTTCACATTGTTATTGTTCAATCCACAAGCTGGTGGATCAGACAATAACAATGTGAAATAGAAACTGGCTATTTTAAATACTCCCGAGTGAGATAAAAAATAACCTATCTTCGCCCATAGAGTCGCACATCAAGTCTATTGACAAGCATTCTAACCCACTCCAGTTCATTGGGCGAAACGTGCATTAACAGCGGCGAATTCTTGTAATAACGACTTTGAAACAAGAGTCAAAGAGGATTTCAAAGAAGTTGCTACCCTGGCGCTTGTTCATTCAAATATGGCGGTGGTCGAATTTAGGAGGCGGTTCAATATAGGCAACCTTCCTTTATCCTTTATTCTCCTGTCTCCTCCTTTTTTTTAGGCCTGTAACTATAGACGTCGTTCCCAGTAGCCTACCAATGCAAAGTGATTCCAAGATATCATGGATCGGTCTATTCGAACGGAAGATGGCAGCCGAAGCAGTGAGCATAGCGCCCTTTAATATCGAAGAAATGGAAATGAAATTTAAAGGAGGGAAAGCGGCCGATGCAACTAGTCGTGTGAGTCATAATTGGGATGTGGTTTCCATAAAATTTCGACCTGACGACAACAGATTTATGGACATAATGAATTTGATGGCCGACGAAGCTGCACTGGAACCGAGCAAAGCTAGAAAAGAAACTGTATGTAGTTTTATCAACTAATTTTATACATAAATATATAGGAAAAAAAAAACAATGAAGGTTTGTATTGAGGAAGTGTCACCAGAAGTTTTTACCAAAAGTGCGTAACATTCGAAAATTGTAATGACTTTTTTATTTTACGTGTCTATTTTTCTCTTATATAGGTTTTATTTCTAAATTCCTAAAATATTAGATATTTGGACAAAAATGTAAAAAACTGCTGGTGTTACCAAAAGTGTTTTAAATTAATTTAATAATTTTTATTCTTGAACAGAAGTTCGCTGATACCGTCGATGTACATGAATTCGAAGAGGCGGACAATGAATTAACTTCGGAAAAAATTATGAAAAAAATATGCAATAATCCTGCATGTCCTGCGGCAAAGAAATTCAAGGAATATGGACTAGGTCCTTTGGCTACTGGTCCAGGTAGGTTTACGTCATGTATTGTTTACCAAGACAGCACACGTCAATCCATTGGATGTTCAATAGAAGTCCATTGATGGACATATTTTACCGAAGGACACTACATTAATAGGAAATAAAATAATTGCAACTATGGACATATTTTTATTGTCAAAAATAATATCAAGCATGTTTTATACCCACTCCTTTCTGTTGACCTTCTCAGTCATTTTCTTATGGTTATTTCGCTTATTTTTTAAGCAGATCCATCGTCGCTCTTTAACAAACGCCTGATCAGGCGAAACTGATAGTAAAAAATGTAAACCATTTAAATAATTTTAAATAATTATACATATTTTCTGACCAAATAACAAACTATCCAAACTCGAACTCGTGAGCCGTTCAACCTCTTTTTTCTTCTCTTCTTCGACTCTGACTTGAATAGCCTTTTACTCTGTATGCATCTTATCAGCTTATTATCGAAGATAATAAATAATTTAGGACCGATTCCACCGTTGTGTTAAACGAAGTTTAAAATGACATTTTTACATTAACAATTAATTATAACAATTAATTTTAACCTAGTTATAAATAATAATTGTACTAAAAGAATTATAATAATTTATTATGTCTATGTTGTAATATAAATTACAATAAAAATTATAAAAAATTATATATTATTATAAGACAAATACAGTTTTTTAATAATATAATATATGTTAATATTAATCTGCAAAATGTTTAGTAAAATCAAGTTCGTCATGGACATTTTTTTGGTATCTATTGGACTTCTGAATGACTATATAACGTGAGCACCATAAGTCTCACCCCCCCTATCTAACTCGTTACTGGAGTCTTGTTAGGAAAATCGCCGAGACAGGTCGATTTTTGTTTTCTACAATGTACATTTTTGTATGATTAGTTTACCCTTAATTTCATCCCTTACTGGAGGGGAACAACCCTTTCGAAAAATTTAAATGGCATGGGGTGGTGAGTGATAGCTCATTTGAAAGAGGGTTTTATTCTCTATTCAACCATGTAAAAAATTTTGAAAATTGCTTCATTAATTCTCGACTAATTGTTGTTTCAGAATAACGGAAATTAACGTAGCGCACTCATCCTTAGTATTAAAATTCGACCCTGTATGATTTCGGTTTTGGTTCAGACGTGAAGTAAGACTTTTTGCCATTAGAAGGTCACTATTAGTTTTGATGCTTTCCTATTTTGTGAGGTTTTGTTATTTTTAAACATTAATAAATCAACACGTAATGAAGCAAATTTAATTTTTTTTTGCACGGTTGAATAGAGAATAAAACCCCCTTTCAAATGAGCTATCACTCACCACCCCATGCCATTTAAATTTTTCGAAAGGTATGTTCCCCTCCAGTAAGGGATGAAATTATGGGTAAACTAATCATACAAAAATGTACATTGTAGAAAACAGAAATCGACCTGTCTCGGCGATTTTCCTAACGAGACTCCAGTAAGGAGTTAGTTAGGGGGGTAAGACTTATGATGCTCACTGTATATCCATTAGAATAATGGTAAATGAAGTTCATGTACATCCAGGACATTATTTGGACAAAATATGGACTTCCAATAGAAGTCGAGTGCTGTCTGGATAGTATATGTATTTACACACAAAAATTACTCATTGAATATATTGAATATTATTCAGTACATGTAAATACACCATTCCAGTGGAAAGAATCAAGTAGTTACAGCTATCTAACAAAGTGGAGACCACAGTAAACTTACCAATAAAAAAAAACCGTAGGTCGCGTACTAACCCATAGAATTTCACTAATATGGAAACATTGAACTTTTGTCTGTCAATGAAGTCGGAAAATTTTTAATTTTTCATAGGGATAGTGATTTTCCATCAATTTTCCGGCCAGACCAACTTTTTGTTGACTGCAGATTTATCTGTTTCGGAAAATGTCCCCGAGTTTTCCGAGTTTTCCGACAAAATTTTCGAAAAAGCTAAAAATTCCAGTATACTGCTGGACGTTCTTAAAACAATTTGACATCAAAATTTTCACGTACCTCAAACATTTCCCAGCAAAATTAGAGGAAAATTTGGGTCAAACGCTTTTCCGGTAATAACGTTGCTTTAGCCCTTTCGAGACTACGGGTGCACATATGTACCACCAATTAGTAACACAGGACTAAAAGTAGTTTTCGCTGTTTGAAACGTTGAATATTTGTACCGCTCAGTCCGGATAAGTATCCTCTTGTCAAAACACGCACGGAAGACATCGCATAACCTTACTTTTCGATAATTTGCCGTAAGTAGTTGCTCGACGCACGTGTTTATGCTAAAGTTTTACAAGTATTTGTGCAAAAAAAGTGTTTTTTTTTTATTAAAAACTGTACATAAGTGACAATTGTGTTTGGTGTGTTTTTTTTTATTAAAAACTGTACATAAGTGACAATATCCTTCGGATATAATTCAATACCTGTTGCGGTATTAGCCAAAGGAGTAGTTATTTTCTGAAGGGAAACGGTCGTTGGTATTTATGTGATATTGGCTTTGAGTTTTATTCATTTTATTTTAAAATATGAAATAAGTTAAATAATTAGGGTTACTCTGCATTAAAAAAACCGTCTTGAAAGGGTTAGAGAGGAGATAGAGCAAAATGACCTTAAAAGTTTTATTATCGAAAACGTATCATTAACTATTTATCTATTTATTTATGTAGATGCGTCGAATTTGTATGCCACGTGACGTCATATCATGTGATAAGGATAGGTCTAAAATGCAAAGGAACAAACATACCGCTATTTGTGTATCGTGGGAAAAACATTGCTTAAAAAGGGAGATAGAGCAAAAAACCTTATGAAAAACTATCCGACTTGACATGGTTTTATAACAGGGGGAGGGGAAACATTAAAAATTGTGAATATTTTTCGCTGATTTATGACAGGGGAAGGGGGAAATAAAAAAACGCGAATCTTTTTGTATTTTTTAGAAATTTATGAATAATTATAAATAAAAACGTTTTTCTTTATCGGATGGTGTTGGAAATGACATGGGACATGACTCACTAGTTATAGACCTATTTCTGTGATAAATAACTTTGCAAAACTATTCGAGCCAAGTTTTTAAGTCAGTTTGATTTATTTTAAAATTTAAGTGAGTACTAAGAATGATCTGTGTGAATTAATTGTAAGGGCCTTGAACGGTTCAACAAAATGCCATGCGGTAGTTTTGATCTGGCAAAGGGCTTTCACAGTGTCGATTTTGCAAAGTTATTTTTAAAATCTAAGTAGCCTGTCGTTCTAGTTATAGTTCTAGTAGATTTTTCTACCTACCTTGAATCGATATTTTCTCTACATGCAGAAAGTAAGAATACATTTTCTTTTTATAGGTCTTGGCACTATGTACAAGAAGGTTCAACCGACGAAAACATACCGACTGAGTAATACCTATGGAGTGTTCACCAGATACGGCCCATTTGGCGTTTTTGAAAAATCGGAATTTCCATTCTTTCCACCGAAAGAAGACACAACTGAAGTTTGTCCAATCGACTTCCCTTGTTTGCCCGATGAAGATGAAGAGGTTTGCTCTTGCTATTCGGATCAAGAACCGTCTGTACAGGAGAGTAAATGCTCATGCGGTGTCAGATATTGTAGATTGAGAGGTGGGGAGGAGAAGAAAATAAAGGAGAAATGTTGTTGTTTTAAACATAGAAATCATCAAAATAAGGGTAAAACTGACTAGCTATGCTAAATATCCTTCTTCATTTCAAAGCTGTGTGCTAGAAAATAATAATTTGAGACATATGACTTGTTTTTCTTTATTTTTAGTTTACTGATGCTTCATAATGTGTTCTCTGTATTTAAATCTAGTGTTATAAAAGGTTATCTAATTCCAATTCATAATGATCTACTTTATCATCTAATGATCATGCTATTCTTGTCTTAATTCTTATTAATGCTTCCTCGTGTTTCATAATTTCTATCTCAAGTACCTAAAACTCTTTTTTCTTTTTTACTCCGTTTTCTAACTATTTTCAGACGTTCCTCTGAGGTTAAGAGGAGGAGGCATCGCAGAAGAAGATGGCATTGAATCTGTAAGCGAATTCACTGTTTGCACAATCTGCGATTTTGACAACAATGATACAACATGGCCGACATCTTATGATTATGATAATAATAATTCAGTCTGGCCGACATCTTGCGAATATGATCAATATTCTGCTCGTTTAAGAGGAGGCGGTAAGAAAGATGACAAGAAGAAGGATGAAGAGGAAAAACCGAATGCAATGAAGTCACCGATGGTAAGATAAAATAAATTTGAAAGTATTGTTATTATATTATGTTATCCATGACTGTACACGGTAGTTTTTTTATTTTTGTCAAACAGCAACATAAGGATTGTATGTAATTTAAAATTACTGGAATTAATTGTACATTTCCAATTAACGACTTATTATTATCATCATCAGATTTTCTTGGTTTTAATAGTTTACGATTAAAGGGGATAACATTGGATCTAGTTATTGGTCCTTAAAATTTGTTATTTTTTTATTAGGTAAGTTCACATGAATAGATTTCAGTTCAGTTAGCCTAATTCTCCATTGATTGGTCCATTTAACTAGGAGAGCAGTATCATGAGCGAATCTGACTACAGCCATATCTTCCAAAGTTGGCAAGTCACTAGTGTAGAATAAATATAAAATGGGTCCAAGAACACTTCCTTGAGGCATTCCAGCTCTTATTGCTTTTAAATTGGAATATTCGTATTCCTGATTGATTCTGAAAAGTATGTCTGAGATATATGTTATAATATGGCTTCGGAAACAATTCTTAAACCTTCAGGCCACACCTTGTCAAAGGCTTGGATAACGACAAAAAATACTGCAGAGCAGACTTGTTTTCCTTCAAAATATCTATATCTCTGATTCTATGCACAGGAAGAATGCAAGCCGGTGATGGACCAATTTAACCAAATTTTGGCCGAATACAAAAAGGCTTTAGGTCCTTGCGGCGAAGCCAGTTGTCCTTTTTCTCAAAATATTTGCGGAGAATACTGTAAGAAGATTTGTCACGCGAAAGAAGAGCCGTGTCCTTGCATGAGGAAGGACAGTTGCCAAGAAATGCCTTGCGATATTGACCAGTGTCCCTTCAAGAACAAACAAGATAAGAAAATAAAAGGATCTTGCGGAAGTCCTCATTGTCCTTATGCTCAATATAAATTGGGTAAGTTTCAAATACGAACATAAAAATCGTAATGACGAAAAATAATTTTCGATAAGTAGAACACTACACTTTTCTGCGAGATTTATTATGCCATTTACTAAATTTAGAAAATACAAGACACGAAGATGAATTTTGCCCACGATGCTCACTAGTTTGAGTGCGATATGGTCAATTCACTCAAGTTGTACAGTATATTTTTTCTACGACCTACTAACAAAATTTTATAAAATTTTAAAAAAGAATTTAGAGGTTATTAAGATAAAATAATTTATGTATTTTATTAATTCATAGAATAAACTTGAAAAAAAGAGATTTAGTAAGTCTTCATCCTGCATTTGATCCCTGGACATTTTAGTACGTTTTATGATTGATGATCTTTTTGTAAATATAGACGAATGTTTTTTTTTTACAAGAATCACTCATTTTTAATTATATTTAATCTCAATAACTAAAAAACATACTGACAATTAGTTTGACAGAATTGTCAATTATTTAAAATATTAAACAATAACAGTAGCCTGGTCACCAAATGTGAACTATAATTGGTGAATTTAATATCCGTACAGTGCCCTAACTAGAATGGATATAAAATTATATCCTTTCAGTAGAACGCAATAGCCTTCTTTTCCGTTCTGTAGCTGTGCGTACAATAGATATAATATCCATCTGGGAGTAGAAAAAATTTATTTTGTCACTCATGTCCTCTTTTACCCGCACACAATTTTTTTTTTTTTTTAATAAATGAATTGGTTTCTGTTGGCTTACGAGTCTACCTAATTTTACATCTATTGATTTTTTGCGAATTTTATTTAAAGTTTTAATTGAATCAAATCAATTTGTATATATCCCCTTAATCAGTGGCGTACAGAGAAATTATTTTATCGGAAACTGAAGTCCTTGATGAAATCATTAAAAAATGAGATTACACTTTTAAATTAATAAGTCTTAAATACCAAAACTAAATTAAACTTTCATTTTTGTGATTTTTTTACATATTATAATTTTATTTGTTTGTTTTTTAACGTTAATAAATATTTTTATTCACTTATAAAAACATTTTTATCTGAAATATTTGATATAGTTGATTGAACCCCTCTTATGATAAATTTATAGCTACGTCACTACCTTTATTGATTTTTCAGGACTGGTAACCGACGATGCTGAATTAGAACTCGCCTATCTCCCCCCCGCGGTAATGGGCAAATGCGGGGACCCGAAATGCGACTACCCACCGCAATTTTTAACTCTACCTCCCATCCATTGGGATTGTCCCGACCCCTTACCGCAAGGTTGTTGCAAAAACCCCAATTGTCCTCATCAACCAAAAGGTTTGCTTGAATTGAAAGTGCCAGTTCCGCAGGCGCCTTGCGGCAGTGCTTCTTGTCCATACGCTTTACCGCCAGCCTGCGATATGCCTAGTTGTCCGTTTAGAGAGAAACCTTGCCCCTTTAAAGCTCAAAAGAAAGCAGGTAAAAGTTTTATAGATCACCTTTAAGAATGTCAATTATTAATTTAAGTGGGATCTGGTAATCTAGTTAAATCAGATTCTAACTTTACTATGAAGATATTTTAAGATCCCCATATAGATGATTTGGAACAGTAAAGTATTTAGCTTTCTTTAAACCTTTTCATAGTAGAATATAACAATTATTTAATGTCAAAATTAGACAATATGATTTTCGATTAAGATTTTCTTAATAGATCTTAGTTTTAGATTTAAAAATGTAGGCAAAGATTGATTAGATTTGGTAAGGACTGTGGACCGTATAGACCTTAGCAAATTTATTGTGGATATCCTTTGATCGTTGTCTAGTTTGGTACTAGTAGACTCCATAAATTAGGAAGTACTTCTCTGCTGTATGAATTTCTTCTTAGTTTGAAGTATTTTCCTGATCAATTAAAAATAGTTCCTGTTTTTAAAAATTGTAGATGAGAAAAAGTTGGAGAACTCTAAATCAAATAGTCTTTTAAATTCTTCCTCAAAAATTTTTGAAGCAGCAATATTAAAAATATTTTTTGTGACCATATTTTAGAGAATCTGAAGGATGATAGGTTGGTAGGATTATTACATTTCCTGGAACATGGGATAATGCTAGATAGCATTAGGATATTTCAAAACATATTTTAAAAACAGGAGACAGTTTGTCAAAATATATAAAAATAAGGAGGAAGGTAAATATGTATAATTAACATCTAATGCAGGAATATCCCAGGGGAGTATAGTCGAGTCACTGCTCTTTATTAATGTGAATAACCTAAACAGTGTTATGTTAGAGGATGGCAATAGTATGCTAACCAATTATGCATATGTCACGAACATCTTGGTAAATGCATCTGATATGCTTCTGATACGCAGCGAGACAAGTAAAGAAAAAAAATGGCGCAAAAGAGGTATTAAGACAAACGGTAAATGGAAAAACCATTGTCATATATTCAGACAATCAAGCGAGGTTAAGAACACTCAGTGCTATGAAGGTACACGCAAAGCTTGTGTGGGAATGTTTGGAAGCCCTAACAGAGTGGGTAGTCAAAAATGGACTAACTTTAACCTGGATACCAGACCTCAGAGGACATAAGTGTAACGAGGCTGTTAAGAAGCCTTAAAGGGTCTTATTGGCCCAGAACCCTTCTGCGGTGTCACAAAGATAATTATCAGAACATGCACAAAGCAGTGTATGTTTAAAAAATCTCAGGAAAAATTCACCAAGACAGAGACAGGCTAAGCATCATCGCCTAAACTCACGGAGCATCTACTTAACCATAATGTCTGTAATAGGAAAAATACAAGAGTACTAGTAGGTCTATTAACAGGTAATTTTAGGCTTAACAAACATATGTAAAATATCGATCTGCCAGAAAAAACCTTGTGCCGATTCTGTCAGGATGTGGCGGAATCTGCAGAACACCTATTGTGCTATTACGAAGGTCTACCAAGACTGAGATTCCCTACATTTAGAGAAGAAAAACGAAGGGCAACTAGCTACGCTGTGGAACCACTTCCTAGTCTATGGGGTGTACTACAAAAGATCGAATTAGACAAGGTACTCTACAACGATTAAAGGATTTGAGAAGGTCAAAATGGGGAAGGAGCCACATGGCCGTTTAAAAAAGTAGTCAAAGATTATTTTTCTAACTAGACTAGTTACATCTGGAGTTCCCACATGTTCCAGTCATTGTCACAGTGATCCTTATCATATACATATACTGAGAAAATACTGGTTTTATTTCCAATATTTTTTTGATATAAGTGTTCTGTATGTATAAGTCGCTGGTGTAAGGAAAATTGGGTCCTTCTTGTAGAAATAACTTGAGAGTTTGAGTAAAAAACGAAGTGTTTTTATTAATCACACATGAGGTACAAAGAATGTTGGTGTTGTAGATAGAACATAGAACTTCTTAACTAATACGTACAATTAATTTGATCGTTGCCAATTTGAATTCATTTGCTTATCAAGAGCTTGAATATTAACGTGTGTAGTGTGTCTCAACTGTCTCGTTCAAAAAGCTTTTTTGTTTTTCTTACTCATTGTCATAGACCATCTTGTTTTAGACTGGAGCCGAATTAAGTGTGCGGTGCATAGTTGACGCAATAGATCTTTTGTACCGTAGTGGGAGGTGGTTTTGGCGAATGAGGTGCTTCAGCTATGCGCCAGACAGTTATAAGGTCCCTTTTCTAAGAACTGCTTGAGAGAAAGAGAGAGTGAAAGTTTGTGAGACTTGAGTTAATTGCGCTGAGAAAGATAGACTACAAAAAACGTGTTGGTCAAGTATTCACTGATGGTTAGAAATATTTTAGCGAAACTGCAGATACAGAGGGTTATTTTCCGTTATTTAAAAAAGTTATATCTGATTTATGACATTAAGATTAAAATAAAAAATTTAAATATGTGTTGTTTAATAAACGTAGAAACGTGAAATATTAATTTATATTTTTCTGATAAATTTATAGAATTTAACCATATACAAGTATAAAAATTCAGTCATTACAATCGGCGACCAAGGAAATTATCAAGTGTGATGTGATCTATTGATCTAGCTGGTCAAACTGCCTTCCAAATTACAACTGTTTGATAAATAATGAATCTTTGAAAAATATTTAAAACTGTTATGTTACTTAATTTTCCATCCCAATATCTCTGAAAAGAAACATCAAACATTTGAATTGCTAAATGTATATTTTCAGGGGTGGCCAAGCCAAGTTGTGAGTCTGATTCAGACGAATCTGACGACGATGGTGCGTGCTGTAATCCTGAGTGTCCTTACAGCAGCAAGAAAAATGGCGGAAACAAAAGGTTGCGCGCAGGATCAGAAGCAGGATCGGCTAAATGCACTAACCCTTGCTGCCCTTCCAAGAAGAAAAATCCAGGTAAAAACTAAACCAAAGCGAGATAATAATAAATAACATGTATATAGTATAAAATTTGAAACAATTTAAATTCTTTTAGCTTGTTGTTGCAATCAGGAATCCGATACTGAAGAAAGCTTTTGCGATAGCCCGGAATGCCCATTGAATCGTGACAAAAACAAAGGTACAGGGTGTTTCCCACCTCAACCACCGAAATCGGATGTGTGCGAAAATCCTGAGTGTCCTTCCAGAATTTACAAACGACACAAAAAAGGTATTGTAGTGTAATGAAGTCAATTTTTCCCTAATCAGTTTTATTTTTATTTTTAATAAATATTAATTTTTCGTCTCGTATTTATTAATCCGATAGGTAAAAAACCTTATTTCAGTTTTTATAGGAGAAACGGTTTATTTTTAGACCGCATTTAGTTTAATTTAAAAATCGATTTATCTTTTGGAAATAGGAATGTTCAATTCGTTATTGAGCTAAAAGATATAGTAGGATTTCATTAATAAATATAAGAATTTAGTTCTTGGTAAATAGAATACCGTTTTTAAAGATATTGTTGTGAGAAAGATTTAAGGAATGTAACTTTTCTTTTTGTTAGTCTCAGACCGGTAATTTAATTTGATTTAATTAATAAATATTATATTAAAAATAGAATATCGTTTCTTTCAAGGGAATTGAATTTGATTTAAATAATAAATGTTAGGATTTACTTCTTTAAAATTATAATACCGTTGATTTAGACATTTGGTAGTTAGAAATTAATTTTTTTTTGTTAGGTTGAATCGGGAATTAAATTTGATTTCATTGATAAATACTTTTGTTTAGTAAGTGCCACGTTATAAATAAGTTGGGAATATTTAGAAACGGAGTTTTCGAGGAGACGTTTTCCCTCTTTTAATAGTTTTGTTTCCTCTTTTACCGCAAATTCAAATAATCTTAAATGGCATCCTGTCCCTATCTGAGCGGGCTCGTGATGACGATCAGCTTATTCTTGGGTTAGGTACTATCGCGTTAGTAGTTTTCTTCCCTCTGTTAATAGTTTTGTTTTCTCTTTCACCGCCAATTTAAATAATCTTAAATAGCATCCTGTCCCTGTCTGACCGGGCCCGTGGGGACGATCAGCTCATTCTTGGATTAGGTACTATCCGCGTTAGTTTTTCTTTTCCCCCTTGTATCCTTTATTTTTACGCGCGAATCGCAAATTTAAAGCTTCATTACCCTGTCTGAGCGGGCTCGTGATGACGATCAGCTCATTCTGGGATAATAGGCTACCTCGGGTATAAATTATTTTCCGAATATTTAGTTCAAGTAGTTCTTTCACGATCCTGTCTCCTCGCACTCTCTGCGACCGTATAGATAATTTTTCCTTGCCGAAACAGTAAAGTACACTTTAGTTTAATTCCCGCTGAGAGAGTTAACTAGTTAATTTTTGCTACGACCGCTCTTAAAAATGTTCCTTACCGAAATGGAAAATTATGTTTTAATTTAATTACCGACTAAGGAGTCAAGTTAATTTTTCCTGCGACCGAAGCACTCATTTTATTTTAATTCAATTTTGACGTCTGATTGAGACTAGTCGGGATTCAATACCGTCCGTTCTTTTTGTTTTTTTTTGTTCAGTGTTTATATATTTATTTACTTAAATAGTTTATTTAATTTACATATCTTGCTAATAAACTAACTTATATTGGAAATATTTATCTGAACAGAACGATAAAAAACTGAACTCTAGGCGTTCTAGAACATACGAGACCATGTTACAGCAGTTTTTGTTCCGAAATTGTTTCTAGATCATTCATTAACTAATCGAATATATACTAGAATGATGATTCACTTTCACTTATGGGTATGGGCATGGGCGTCCCATAGGGGTTTTGAAAGTTAAACTTATTTTATCGAATATTCTGCGCAACCAAAAAAATGTTGGCCGTAAAAGGCAGAGAGGAATTTAAGGAATTGGAGCAGGACCGTATTGGTTGAAAATGGCTGAATGGCAATATTATTTAGCACAATAAATTTTTTCCGAACATCGATGTTTTTAAAAACGTTTTAATTTTTATTTAGATGATGACGGCGAGATTTGTGACAACGATGACTGTCCGTACAGAAAAGGAATGGGAAATAGAGACGATGATGATGTATGCGGCAATCCATACTGTCCTTACAATGATCCACCGCCGAAGAAAAATGCTTGCTCAAACCCTAAGTGTCCTTTTAGTGGCAGCGGTAAGAGACAAAAATAAATAGCGCATCTTATAATTATAAACAACTGAATATACATTTTTTAACATTATTTTGGAGTTTTGTTTGTCTATTCATAAACATTCTTCTTCTGTAAACTCAAAAACAAAGTGCTTAAGAAGGTACCTCTCCTTTGAGAATTTTGAGAGATTAGAATAACTCAGTTCTCAAAATCTCAATTTTTACTACCTACTTAAAAAAATATTGCCAGTAACAGAGACAACAGAGACATGTAACTTAATAGGAAAATTTGTTCGGTTGTCCATTTAACTTTCTTTCTGTTTTACATTGATCTTTACATATATTTATCGCTCTCCAATAAAACTAACACCAATCTTAGAGGTCGCTGATGTTGCTGGTTTTTTGACATCGACAAAGATATAGATTAGAACTGGCAATGTTTTGAATGTTATGAACATGTGCATTTTATTAAAATTAATTTAATTTGGTCCCCGTTTATTTCTTCGAGTCTGATTTTGTTGTTTAATTAATTTTCTTTGGCGGCGGGGAGGGGGGGGGTTGTTTATTTTCGCATATTATTTTTGAAGCAAATTTCTGGAACCAAACTCGCGTTTTTGTACACGTTTCTTTCTAGAGGTAAGTAATTTCCAATTTATTAAGACAACCACTGTATAATGTGTGTATTTAATAATATATTACAAAATAGCTATAATTATTTTAGGTGAATTGGAACAGAGATCTATTGTTACAGCTACTTTTGTTCATTAAGTAGGTATAAGAATGTCTCTGGACAGCTTTAATGGCAGCACAAAGTTCCCACCTACTAGAAAAGTAAAAAATCTCTTCACATGCAGTATTGGCGAAGGACTTTTGATATCAGAGATTGGCTATTTCTTACATACACCTACCTCTAATAGCCACTCTAGTGGCTATTAGAAGATTGTAGAGTCATTTAAACGAAGAAAAAAAAATGAATCAGAAATGGGCAGAATTTTAAGCCAGGATGCTTGGAAAATAAATTTGGGGACATCAGGTCGGTTTTGGATTTTAGAGAGAGATCAATCTCAAAAAAAGGTAATTTATCCTGCAGAACAATCAGTAGTTTAAGTAGGATCTGCTATCACTTTATTGGAAGATTTCCTTGATAATAAATTGTAATATACCAATTGTTTCAAATAAAATTAAATTCGAAATTAGATTTTTTATTGGTAAAACGTTATTCATTCAAACATCGTAAGTTAATCTAAATTTAAGCGAGTATGGAAAATAGGTATTCCCTGGTAAGGGATAACGACAAAAAAATTACAAAAATGTATTCATCTTTAGATCTTTATTATTAATATTATTATTTGCTATGTTTGAAAAGTACCTCCTGCTGCAGAGGAGATCGAATAGATTAGACGACTAGTTGGAGAAGGTCCAATTAGTCACCAAATGAGAAGACTAGGAAAACTTTTACATGACTGGGGACACAGCAGGAATGCACACACACAAGATACACAAACATAGGACATAACAGGGGTAAGCCTTCAGCAACGTCCTGTTTAAATGATGGTAGTATGTAATCCTTCATTCCCTTTTAGAAGGCATGGCATATAAATCTATTGATCTTGATGACCCTAAGAGGATTTAGCAGGGTGGTGTACGAAATGGGTCTAGCAGGTTTCGATCCAGTTTACAGAACGGGAACTTACTCGACTAGGGCCTTATACATTTGTGTGAGTGTATGTGTGTGTTTGTTTCGTTTCCATGGTTTGTTCAAATGGCATTTATAATAGTCTGGCAAAACGGTATCGATATACTCTATACTTTATAAAATATTTGTTAAATTATTTTTTAAATATATTATGAATATATAACAACTGTGGCTTTCTTTGTAATTTGTCACAAAATAATACGAGGTACTTTCTAAACGTCTAATTGTAGTTTGTTTTTCTGTACCTTACAAAAATATAATTTATAGAAAAAGTTTGGTGAATTATTTTTAAATATATATATAGTTTAAATATTTAATAATCAATAGAATTTTCAAGTTTCTTTTAGCGAAATTTACAAGAGTAATAAAAACTATGTTCAGTGCTTATATTAAACTGATTAAAACTTTATTAAAATGATTATTTATATGATAGAAAATTTGATGTTATTGGAAGCTTTTACATTTTTTAATATACAGTGAAACAATAGTTTTTGTTTCTCCTGTAAATTTGTATAGAAAAATTATTTCTGAATCCATGTTTTGAATTTCCCGCCCTAAAGCATTTTTAAATTTTCCCGCTATTTACTAGTGGCGCCATCATAAACTGGTTGTGGTTACAATCACCCAAACAACTTTTACCGAACAAAAAAAATACATTGAGTTACACGTCTCCCTGGGTTGTCTCTGCCAGTAATGATACTATACAGGGTGTTTCATAATATATGCGCAGGACTTCAGGACGTGATAGCTCGTCCAAAAATATCAAAAAACGTTTCTATTAACTTACCCTCTAAAATGCATCATTTTCGAGATACAGGGTGTTGAAATTGAAAAATAAATTCTACACCACTGGAAAAATTACGGTTTTGAGACAACCATTTGAACCGCCAATGTTTTCTACATAAAAAATGTACTCTTGGTTATACGCTCTAAAGTCGACCGTTTTCGAGAAAAATCAAATTTTAATGTTAAAATACATGGTCATACATACTTGATGAAACAAAAATCTCGAAAATGGTGCATTTTAGAGTGTAAGTTAATAGAAACGTTTTTTCATATTTTTGGACGAGCTATCACGTCCTGAAGCCCTGCGCATATATTGTGAAACAACCTGTATTAAAATATTTAATGTCACCAACACAAGCATCGTTTTATAATATTGAACAAAATCTTATTCTGTTGACAGATCATGTGACCAATAAATAATTGGCCGACTGATATAATCCTGATTTTTAATTGAAGAACGACTGGCATTTGAGATTTAAAAATGTTTACCTCTTTAAAGAAAACAAATAAATTCACGTTGATTTATTTTAAATTCAGAACCAAGAATGAACCAGATTTTTCCTTATCTATCTAATAATTTAGCATGGGTGGCTGCTCTTTAATGCCGCATGGCCGCGCACCCCTCCTCAAAAGTAGAGACACCAGAGAATACAATACTAATTAAAAATATTATTTGTTTATTTAATAATTTTTCCTATTATTTCGACACAAGCTATGAGTGTTATTTATTATATCCCCTCCAAATCCTTCCTATAATAACAATTTGTGAGCTCTTTGACTGGACTATAGAAGGCCGCAATAAAATTGAGGCCCGCGTTTCCATGGAAACGTAGTGGGACACACGCTAACGAATACGTTTTGCAGTCGACTGTTTTATTGCAATTCCTGAAACTGTGCGCAGAACGCAGTATTCGGTGAGCGACGCATAATCGCAACCGCATGCCATGGAAAAGTTATATTCTTGACTATCCTTCGTTAGACAGGCCAAGATACTTCTGGGTGAATATAACCAGAAAAGATCGGAAGCCTGCATCTGCCAGAGCAAGAACAGGCTACGTATTGTAACAGTAATTCTTACCCCGGGCATTGCTGACTAAAAGGACACCTAAGTAAACTGAGAGTAGTAGAGGATAGTGAGTGCAGATTCTGTGTGGAGGAGCACGAAACCTCCATTCACATCGTAACTGAATGTGTAGCACTTCAGAATCTAAGGGCACTATATCTAGGAGGATATCAAATAGAAGAGGGAGATTTACCTAACTTGAAGCTACTTCACGTACACTTGAGAAAATAGGATTGTTGATTCTAGCTCTTCTTCGAAAAGTTGTCGCCACTAGTTTACAAAATACTAAATCTGTTATTTTAGCATCTATGTCATTTTAAACCACTTACTCCTACCATTATTACCTCAGCAGTTTTCCATAGTAGCGGAACATGTTGAAGCCTAATTACATAACGTTTACTGTTTCTCTTTAAAGTTTTTCAGGATTAGTTATTAAGAGTTTTTTGATATCAGTTCCTAATGGTCCCTATTGGTTTTGTATTCTTAACATTCTCTTGGTTTAGGGTGGAAGAAACATGCTAAATAGTTGGCGAAAGCATACATTTTTTTTTGCAACTTCTTGTCTATGAAACATTTTCCGTTTACTTCCTTTCCATAATAATAAGTGGTTTGAACATCTGTAAACTCTCAGGTATTTGTTAATGGTATTTTTACTTTTTACTACAGATGTCAAAACAATTTTATGTAATATTAGAATTAAAATTCGGAACGTTTCATAGTTATTATAACCATAGGTAAGTACATTTTTGTATAAACTTTTAGGCCATGCTGAAGAATCTGACGACGCGAGTATTTGTTCCAGTCCGGATTGTCCTTTTGCGCAGAGCAGAAAGAAGAAAAAGACCGACGATGTGTGCGGGAATCCAAATTGTCCGTACAAACCTAAAAAACCGAAGGCAAGCGGTGAAGTTTGTAATGATTGTAAGTTTTGCGGTGTTTTAGGTTTTCCAATGTGCATTATATGACCCCTGCTCTACACAGCCATTTTTTCTTAACCTTAATAAGCGCCTTATTAATTTGTACTTATGCACAAGGTCTGTGTTTAGACAAACAAATTAGCTTGTAACCTCTAGTGTGTTTATGTCTAGTTGGTTATGGTCTATGTTCAATGACAGTTGATAGTTGCAAGATCGTTATAAAATGATTTGCAACTTGTAATGATTTTGGTGTTGAAATAAAAGTGTTGTTGGATACTTTTTAATTACAAATAGAGATGGACTTTTATTTAAACGAATATTTATTAATACGTATATAGCACATTACTCAACACTGGTCTGAACTTTTTGTCATCTTTAGTATTCTTTCTATTTCATGCTGGTCAAGGATCTGCAGCATCTGGATGTTGACACGTGTATGAAATTTAGCTTCTTTGGATTTCATCTTGAGTTTAAAGTCTCTGTGTTAATCTGTGTACAATTCTACAAGTCGTATATACTGCTTTGGGAGCATTTGTCCCAATTTTTTTGTCCTTTACACCAGACTTCATCAAACGCCAGCACGATGTCGAGGAACAAGGCAGAACAAACTTCTTTCTCTCCGCGATAGTGGAGATAAGCTGGTCTAAGTGATATTTTGGAGAGTTTGGGACATTTTACATATTTTTATTCAAAAAACATATATCCAGCTAACCTGGTATATCCTGAAATGCAAAGTTCCTTATTCTTCTTAAGTATTTCTTCCACTATACCATTATTATAAAATTGTAAAAGAACGCTGTACTTAACTGGTCTATCATACATATAACCTATTATAGCACTTTGATCGTAATAAATATTTGTGGGTCCATTTAAAAGAATATACATTTTTCCAGGCTGTAAAGAAATTATGACCTTTTTTTGGGTTAATTATTTTTATTTCTCTATGGGTTGACAAGTTTTATCTCCTCTTCCTCTTCTATTGATCTTTTATTTAGGTCGTTCTCTATATCTGATTTATTAGATTGGAAGATTTTCTCCAGGTGTTTACTGCCTTTAGCATATCCTCATTCTTTTGTTCGTTTGGGGATAATTTATCTGATAAAACGTTTAGCTAGGTTCTCCGTTTTAAAGTAACTGATAATAATACTCTTTGAGATCCATCTTTCTATTATTATTACTTCTATTGCATTTAAACTCTTAGGCACCGACTTACTCTGCAACAACCCCGATTGTCCCAACTACAGTCCACCTGCAATATCGTCAGGTCCCGATTATTGCGACAATCCCATGTGTCCTTTCTCGAAGGAGTACCAAACGTCAGTTTGCGTCGATCCGTTTTGTCCTTACGCCCAACCATTACCCTCTTGCGGCATTCCCAACTGCCCTTACGAGAAGAAACCCATTATGTTCTGTCCCAGTCCGATTTGCCCATCGAAATTCGCTACTGCCGTTCCCACCGAAACGTCTGGACCCGCTTCTTCTGGACCTACCTCGGGCGGGGAGAAGAAGTCAACACGAAGAAGGTCTTCAGAAGGTAACCCACTAGGTTTAATTTTCATAGACGTTTTAAATTAACTTAATTTTGCAGAACAAAAAAAGAAAGTGGACGGTGCAGGAGACAACGCTGGTCAAAAGCAGATTATAACGGCAACTACTGCGACTACAGGTACCGAAGCGAAAGAAATTAAGAGGAAGAGTCCTTACGTGTACTCGTTCGGCGATAAGTGGCCAGGCGTTAAAATAGGTCATAGGGAATGTAACCCACCCAGATTCAGGATACCCCAGAAGATGGGGTGGATGTGGAAAATACAGCAACCGTATTTTGGTTGTAAGGTTAAGAATATTTTAATTTTATATGTCAGAATAGTTTTTACAGCTTCAATTTATGACAAACTAAGCAATTACATAAAATATATTAAATTATAAGAAGTTTAAATAAGTTTTTGTTTGTTTTTTAAACATATTCCGTGACTCTGACCTGTTTGTTAGTATTAAAAAAAATATAATCTATTTTCATCATCTGATTTCACATGTGGCACCCAACATTTTTATTAGTTTAAAATATCGCTAGTCTTTATTTAAAACCTATTTTAGATGAGACGAGGTTGGCGGCCGGGTTGCATCGAAAAATCAGTAGCCCAAATGATCAAAGCCTTCAGAGAAGCCAAAGGTTTGGGATTGCTGAACATACCCGATTTCGGAACGGGTAAAAAAGGAAGAGGAGGAGGCGGTACCGAAACCTCGAGCTGTCACGTACGGCCTAAACCGACGTTGCACATCACCAAGAAAGATGGTGTGTACAATATCATTATGAATCCTTTGAAGGATCCGAAGACCCTAGCTGAGACTGAGGATCCGTATATGGAGTGCACGCCCATGCAGTTTAAGATAACTAAAAACAAACTTAAAGCTGGTGAGTATTTATCAATAGAGGGTATATCTTAATGTGAAAAAAGGTGATCAAGATTAGAGTCCTTAGACCCTACGTCATTTCAAAATAGATAAAATTTTGATATTAGTGTAATATATACTTGGGAATGTATGCTAAGTTAAAAGCGGAGTCTTTTTACATGTAACAGGTACAATAGGTATAATAAATCCTTACTCATCTACGTTAAAGTACTTATAATAGATAGCTGGTTTGTATATATGTTTTACAGAATATTGGTAAAAACCAACATTCAACATATCAGACATCGTGGGTCCTAACTTCCGCCAGACTCTTTACAACTCATAGTAGTATACCTACATTGAATTTGTTACTTGTGGTATTATTTTATGACCTTTTATAAGCAGTCAGACTAGTCCGAAGCGCCAAACATCTTCCCGGATACGATAAAGTGAGAGTAATTAGATAGATTTGTAAGACAGCATCGCAAAATTTAGGTTATTTATTTGAATTTTAAACAAATCTCCAAGATCAGACGATCTTAGTCCAACTATATCTACTATATTCATTCCATAACACAAATAATTTCTATTAACGCTTTTTTCTTAGGTGATGACGATTTCTGTCACTGCAACGATCCGCCAGAAGACGACAGCGACGACAGCGAGCTGGATATCGAGTTTACCCCTCCGGCTGGTATCATCCATCCGGAGAGATTCAAAAAGAAGAAGAACGTCATTCACATTGAGACGCAGTACAATCCCGCCGATTTCGCTGAAAAGAAGAAGGCTAGCAAAAAACCGCCGAAGAAGGGCGATAAGAAGAGTAAGACGGGAAAAGATAAAAAGAAGAAGAAGTCCAAGTACGTGGATCCCGGATATTGCTGATAAATAATGAAACGAGAACGTTTGTATTGTTTGTTTTTTGAATAGTTTGTTACGTTTTGAGAATAAATGAGGTTTTATAAATGGTGATTTTTTATTTACTGTAGTTTTTAGCTATTTAAACATTTTTCATTGTTCATGCACAAATAAATGCGCCATTTCTTCTGATGTTATCAAATTATTTCCGCGTATTAACAAAATGTGGTCCGAGTTCGGCTTGGAGGCCGTACCCTAACCCAAAATTTTTAAAATATTCCATTCACACAATAATAAATAAAAAGTAATTCATTTGATATTTTATGAAAATCATTTTTTCTTAGTCTTATAGCTTGTCTTTTAAAAAATCAAACTAGCGATATTACAAAAACTTTGACACTGGAAAATAGTTCAAAAATAAAAATATAAACAACACTAAATAATAATAGATTTTTTAAATATACGAATCGCAGCAGAATATTTGCTATTTCATTCTGTGACATCACACTTCTGTCCCTAGCAATCTGATAACGCCAACATTTCAGTCTACGAACCATACCTCATATTTCATCAGTATCGCCATATGTTACTGATCATTAAACTATTACTCTGAAAAATAATAGACTTACTTCTGTATGAATTTGTAGGTGGATCTAGAATATGAAATTTTTTGTTCCAAAACATGAATACCGTGGGTATTACCACTGCTGATACGAAGATCACTACTCCGCTTAGCACCAACGATGGTACGTTAATTTTGGCAACGAAATTTCTTGCGTAATCCACAGATTTTTGTACAGGGACTTCTAAGAAGGGTATGCTGAATTCCAGATCGACCTGAAAAAAAATTTTTGGATGTATATAGGTTGTTTACATGGGCGTCGTTACACAATTCTATAGGGAGGGGCAAAATTTTGAAAAAAATTAGAATGTTTATTTGTTGGAAAACAAAGAAAATGAAAAATAAAAGAGAATTATCTTATGATGGATTTAATTATTTTGTGACGTCATGTCTTACTTCCGGTTTTTCCAGAAATAACAGAAAATCGCAATTTATTTTTTATTTTTAAATGAAAACCCTTTTTCTTATTATAAATTTGAATTTCTGAGACATTTTTGTATAAGAAGCGTGTATTGAAAATTTTCTGTCAGTAACATATTAAAAAAATATTTTCCAATATGATGGTATTTTCAACACATGATTCTTATCCATAAATGTCTTTAAAATTCAAATTTTTAATAAAATCGGGGGTTTCTATTTAAAATCTCTCATTGCTCTATTCCACACCACAATACGTCATGATTGTTAATAAGTTGTTAATAAGTAGTTAATAGGTTTGTTCGTAGAGCGATCCACAACCGTTTCCAACTGAACAGCGCATGCGCATTGAAAATTTTGCGTTCATAGAAGAATCACTGATATTTTCCAATTATTAGTTGGCGTTCGTAAAAACAAATGAAGGGATTACCAACTAAATGGGAACGATTAGAAAAATCTCTGATTATTCTCCGGATTTTAAATCCAGGGCATGGGCACATAAAATATTTTTAATAACCCACAATTTGACATTTGTTTGGCTTGAAATTTATGTCTGTTTACGTGTTTATCATTCGTCTATGTTTAAGTTGATTTTTTATGATAAACTTTTCTATTTGACTTTGGATTTTTTTATATAATATCTAGTGTATATTAAAACTGCAAACAAAACACATAGGTACTTGGTTAATCTGTGACACACACAACTGCATACAATATACATTACTACGGCAAACTTCAAATAACTCACGAGAATAGGTAAAGAAAAATCCATAACCGTACAAAATGCGTTCGCAGAGCATACAAATGACAATAAGTTAATAAGTTGTTAATAAGTTGTTAATAAGTTGTTAATAAATTGTTATTAAGTTGTTAATTTAATAGAGTACAAAATTTCAACTTCCTCAGAAGAATAGTTTGAGAAACGAATTTTTTAATAACATCCGATCTTAGTAATTATTATACTTTATTGCCAACAACTAATGCACCTCAGAAATCAAAATCTGGGCGTCAAAAAATAATTTTCAATATTTTGTAGGGATAATTTTGAAAAATTTATTTGTGAATTTCAGAAGAATATTTTATATAATTTTTAAAAGGTTATGTTCGAGGACACATGTTCAAATATAACTTACTTTTAGATTTCCATCAGATGCGTCAAAACTAATCAGTCTTCCACTTTTTGTACTGAACGAATCTTTTTTAAACCTCAATAAATTCTCCGTGAAATTCCAGGAATCCGTACAACAAAACAACAAAAATAATAAACCAAAAATCAAAATTCTCGAGTTGAAAACTTGCGACGACATGCCTCCTTTATTGACACACGGCCATGGGTAAACTGATAAAAAAAATAAATGCAATTATCGTTGAAACAATGCGTTGCATTTTAGAGTGTGAAAGTATTTAGCGGATTATATAAGAGCAACAGTTTTATTTTAAATGAATTCAAATTGCAAAAATTACAAGTAAAATTATTTGATATGGTGAGTAAACGTGACATTTCTTGTTTGGGTAATTCGATTATCATAACATAAAACACAATGGTGATGCTCAGCGTAAGGCAAGCGTCCTAACTACTTCCACTTGGAAGACATCTAAATAATTAAGACATTAGGTAGGTAGGTACGTGCCAGTTATTAGATAATAATTAAGCTTTAGTTTAAATTTTATGAACTGGTTGATGTAAAATTTTTGGTATGTTATGGTTGCATTAGTATCATCTTTCTATGGGACCATTCAAATCATCTGGTTTTGAAGATACAGGCCTGTAACAGATCCTTATACGAGGGCTGCCTTTATATGAATGACGAGAATTTATACATTTTATCGGATTGCTTATATATAGTAAGAGGTATCCTTTTGTATCTTCGCAATATTCTGCCATAATGTGAATCATTGATCATGCTTCAACAAGTGGTTCAATTCGATGGCCTGATGATACTTTTTTATTTTTTTATGGTCACATAGCTTGAATTTTTTAGGGGTGGTTTTTGAAAAAATTCTATTTTTTTTGAGAACGTTAGCTTGTTTAAGGAAATTTAATTCAACTTTTCTATTTATCATTTTTTCTAAGATTGATACTTTTACAGTTAGGTAGGCATTTATTATTTTTTACATATTTACATACATTACATATTAGAAATTATTAAATATAGGAGGTATGTTTTATTACGGTTTTACTTTGTTTGTATACAAAAAAGCCTAGTATTCCGAAATTATAGCATTTAGGTATAAAAGTATTTCTTAATGATTTCAAAAAACAAAAAAGGTACGGGGTGATTTATTTGAAATAACAAAGTTCATTACATTTACAGAAAACCGAAAGATCTAACAACAATGTAAATACAACCATAATATCGGCCGTATTAAAAAACCTTTACATACCAAAGTTTATAAAAATCGTGCAAGCCGTTTCCGAGATAATTGGGGCGTTCTATACTTAAAACTCACTCTGTATAAAAAATATTTTTTTTTATAAAATAGGTACCTACATTTGTGGATAAACCGCAATATGATAATCTAAACTCTAAACCAAACAATACCTATACAATTACCGCAAATTCAGATAAGCGATTTCTTTTGTTGAGAAATTTTAAAAGTATGTACCTACCTAAATTATTTGTGGTTTATTCAACCGACAATGTTGGTATTATCTACCTATGTCTCGGTTTTGATTCTGTTACAAAGGAAGTTTTGGCTTATTTCAGAAGTCGATTTTTCTCTATCAAATAGATTAATTTTACAGTATTTTTGAAATACAGTTTGTCTACTAAAATTATTGAAAATTTTAATTTTAATTATATGAAAAAGTTTTCCTTTATAAAAAGTCAAACTTTCAAAACAATTGAATTTTAAAATAAATAAAACACAAATATAAAAACAGTAATATGAAAATGGCAAAATAACTATTTCCTGATAAAATAGCTAGGTACTTAAAAAGATCAGCTGTTATACTACTGCTATTTAAACAATATTATTAGATTTTAAACAATTTTTTTTGTCGAAAATGAGATTGTACGATTGTGTCCTTCGATCCAGTATAATCAATGACATATATAGTTCATATAAACTGATCATCCATACTTAAATAAAACGATGCAAAGCGAGTCGAACTGGGAGATGTTTTCTCTTTGTCTAGTACAGACCTGCACAACTCAGATTTTCAAAGTTCAAAAACCCTAAGTGTACGAGGGCCAAGAGAGTCCTGAGCTTATAAATTTATAAAGCAGGTGGTCGAGGTGATTTGTGCAGATTCTAAAATAAAAGCAGGTCCTCACCTTATAATTCTATAAACCAAGTCCTTTTGTCGAGCTTTTAAAAAAAGGTTCTGGGTTCTGAGCACAAAGCACATAGAGGTTCCACGTGAATGACCAAGGTCAAAACCGACAACTGACATTTTTTATGCTATTTGCTCCAAACTCTAGATGGGGCTACTGGTGAAATTATGATTTCTTACTCCATTTTTAAGCCTTATGGGAGAAAAACTTAACCAAAGACTCCAAAGATGTGACGTGTATTTATTTATGTTCTTGGTTAGTTTCATTTTTCCGTCTGATTTTAGTGATTTTTTTGTTGGCTTTGGCTTTTGGTTTCTGTTTATAGTTTCGTCTTAGTTATTTGCAAAATTGTGATGTTTCGCTTTTTTATTTCCTACTGTGTTTTGCAATAATTTTGGTGCTACGTTGAAAACTTCGAAAAAAACTTCATTGATTCACCACATATTCACCATGCATCTGCATCATAAAAAGACAAACGGGGACAACAACTAATTGATAATCAATTTATCACTGGACTGGATTCCGAAATATGTATCACCATCTGTATTTAGAAGGAAAATACCTATTTATCATTGAATGAATAGTTAAAAGGATTCACCTTTTAATACAATACCTATATTACATTTGTCCTCAGTTAAAAAGACATTTATAAAATATATAACTTTAGTGTTAATAAAATGTAATATCCTAGTCTCTACTTCACATTTAAATTATTGATAGGTATTTTAAAGATTTGAGATTATATATCTATTTGCTCCAAGTAAGTATTCGTTAAATATGTATTATTATTTGTATTTATTTTTATCTAATAATATTTATTTAAGTTATTAATAAACATATCTTAAGAATGTTCCATTTTATTATTTATTGATATATCTTATATTTATTTAATACAAATATGCAGAACCAACTCTCCACATTAGACCCCTTATAACAAATTAATTCTTCAAATTTGGTATATTCGACCTAAATTATTTTGTAAAATAAAAGTTTCGAACTTACTAGTTCCATACTTTATTTTATAAAATAATTTATGTGGAAATCATTTAAAATTTAATTTAAAACTACTACCTACTCCTAAAAATTACAATTTGAATTTACCGCCATCTGTCAATTGTCATTTTAGTTCCAGCTCCAAACACAAGGTGTCGCTAATTTGGTTTAAAAGTTTAACATTGGCGTGGGGTCTCTAGAAGATACATGCTTTGTGGTTCTGAGCGCTCATAAATTATAAAACTCCTGCTGTCGGACTTCTAAAAAAAAAAACTTAAAAAAAGGTCATCAACTTATAATTCTTATAATGAACCAGGTCCTTCTATCGAACTCCTAAAAAGGCAATAAACGCCTAAATGCAATTTTGTTACTGAAAAATGTTTAGTTTGACGTAGGCGGACCATGGGCGAAGTTATGTCATCAGATCTGGGGGGGGGGGGGGCTAAAGCCCTAGCCCTAGTCATATAATATATAATAGTTCTAGAGGTATACCTACTGAAGTTAAGTAAAAAAATTCTGGCGAATCTATGAAAATGGATAAAATATCATATATCGATTCTAAACAAAGTTTTGCAAAATTTCAATATTGTGAATTTGTAGATATCTATTTATGGTAAAAAACTAAATTTTACGACTTGCACTTGGAAAATAATGAATACTTCAGTTTTGATTTTGACATTAACACCATATAGATTGCAATTTGCTGGGGACTTTTTCGCAGATTTCATTTTTAACATAAACACTATCACATACTATAAGAAATAAACAAATTTAAAGCTAAAAAGTAAGAAATACTCGAATTGTAATTGATACAAATTAAAATGTAAACAATGAACTCGTTGCGAAATGATGAACTGATTTTAAAACAAAATTAATAAATGAACTGAAATTAAAAAGAAAATTAATATAATAAATCGGTTTTATAAAAAAGTCCTTAAATAAATATAGAGTATGATTACATATTACTATACACAAATTTTGATTCTTAAATAAAAGGTCTTATCCACTTCTTCAAGAGCTAAAATCCGAAGACGTAGCGAAATTTTGCTACTTCTGGCAACAATGAACGATATCCTACTTATAGGGACCTTCTACAAATTTCCTCCAGAGGGCGTATCACTTAGCTTGAATCGAGAATAAAGATCCTTCCAATTATATCTTCTCAAGGAAGTGTAGGATTTGGAGTGGCTTCAAGTTAGGTAAATCTCTTCTATTTGATATGCTCATAGGTATAGTGCCCTTGGATTCTGAAGTGCTACACATTTAGTTAGAATGTGAATGAAGATTTTTTCCTCCTCCTCACAAAATCTGCACTATCTTCTACTACTCTCAGTTTACTAAGGAGTAATTTTAGTTGGCAATGTCCAGTTACAAGTGTTCTCAATACTAGAAAAATGTATATTATGATAACAGCTTAAAATACAATCTGGCTAATGTGGAACACCCCGAAAGCCTTGCCAGACTCGTCTAAGGCAATCTCTTATTGAAATTTGCAATATCTCATTGTAATCCTTGTTTTAGACTAATTAACTCGTATTATAAATTTTAGCTACATTTACTTATTACCTGTTTATTTATGTGATCAAAAGAAGCCATTAATAAATTTATTGACATGTTCACTTGAAACAAAGCAGAGAAGTTTGTGTGTACATGCACTGTGTAGGAATGGCACCCGGCACAGTCGCCATTGTGCCGGACACAACCAATTGTGATACGAAAACTTTTAAAAGTAGTTTCGCTGTCGGCTGCAGTTTCGGCCAGTTTTCCGCCGAAACCGAAACTGTAGTCGAAACTATTATTTAAAGCCAAAGTTGGCCGAAACCGTAACCGAACCTTCGGTCGGACACTACTTGTGAGTCTGGCAGGCCTCCGTAATTGTAATTGTCAGCCAGACGTGTATTTTCACTTACGAATATTTTGAAATTTATCCTAAGTAGATGGATAATGTTCTTAAAATAGGCGTGAGTGTGCAAAAATTTACTGATAATAATTTAGGCACGTTTGGTATTGGGTAAGAAAGTTTTACACCAAATTATCCAAATTTCAAAACTT